AGCATTTAAGGTCAATTGAATGACTCACATTATATACCAGTTACCATAATTATGGATAGATAAATTCATTTTGCCTTTGTTTTTTTTTCCCAGTTTTTCTCAGCCTTCAAGTGTGATTTCTTATATATTTTCTTTAAAAGAAAATATTCAATGGGATGTTGGTGGAGATGGATGATTTGCTTGTGGAGCTTTCATCGTTCTTGTGAACGACATCACCAGCATAAACATCTACTGCATCAAAATTATCCACCTGAGCTATGCATCTTCTTTACCATGTCGATGGGATTCGGTAGTAAACATTTTCACACCTTAATGTTGATATATGAAGTATTGGTTAAGATGTTTGTAGTATCTTCCCATTGTTGTTGAAGACTACAATTGATCAGTCTCTTATTGGCATATGGGCATTCTGTTCGGATTACCTAAGTATTACATTCAGTCACAACGTATTATAAACAAAGATGGATGGTGGCTAGTAGTGGAATCGAAGATGCGCGTTTCGTCCTATTTGGGACTCGTCGGCTGGATGTACCTGCATCTCAGGGTTGATGTTCACTCTGGGACTGGAACCCAGTACCGTTCGCTTCATACGCCATCGCGGTATCCACTTAGCTACCGCATCATGATGTTTTGTTATTTTTAAGTAGTAAAAATATGAGCTAACTGAACATCGTTTGATTCATTTAGGTTGTGTTAGGATTTACCGAAGTTTGAAGGCCATCATGTATCAATTTATATTCATGGGACGTTACGTTCTTGAACGGTATTAGGCTCTGTCAAAGTCATTCTTGTGTTTAGTTCTAGTCAATTGTAATCAAATGACACATATAATATCAAGCGAAGTAATGTAAACTGAAGATCCAGAAATATGTCGGACAAATCATTAGCATTCCTTCATCCCGGAAATTAGATATACTTCTTTAATAGTATGACAAAATAATTAATCCAGTCAGTTATGGAAATTCATTTTCTGTATGTTGTTCTTGTGGTGCACCAACTATGAATCTTACCAATGTTCAAGGTAAAGTATCATTTAGAGTATATGTTGAATATATGTTCAACCAGCCTACTAATTTAAATGCATTATGAGCTCTGACTGAGATTATGAAATGATTGATGTTAGACTGCGATTGGAAACCTGGACGGCTGTTTCGTCTTAGTATGGGACGTCTGAACAGTGTGCATCCACGATCCCGCATGTGGGACACAAACCTACATTTAACTTCTAGACCACTGATTTGGCATCCAACGGTGTTAATTTCTAACTTCCATCGACCCATGAATGGATGCGCAACCATTCATCCATTGTCTGAGGTAGATACCTGTTTCTACTGGACACAAATTGAGCTCCACTAGTTACGGCTTCTCATTAGAACTTCAGGAAATCATCTTGGAGCCAGTCACTAGTGAGCACATGATGATCATTATCAGTGAACGGTTGTGAAGATTGTTAAGTTTTTGATTGAGATCATGTAACGATTGATGTTAGACCACCATTATGTTTCATAAGCTTAAACAGTGTTTACATCCAACACTTGCTTCCATTTTTAGTGGATGGGTCCTAAATACAGGAGTGAAGTTTTCAACAAAGATTTCATTTAAGGCATATGGAGTTATCTGTGGCTGAGTGCTACAAACATGTTATTTAGTTTCGCCTGTTACTCTCAATTAACATAGGTTGCCGACCAGCATTCTCTAACACACTCTGTCCCAGGCCTTCCTTTCAAGTTCTATCCAACTCATGTTCATTCTTTCCATGTTTGTCTCCATTTCTCGGTGTAATGTGTTCTTTGTTCTTCTTCTCCTCCTTCGGCCTTGAGGATTCCATATGAGGGCTTGCCTTGTGATGCATTTGGGTGCTTCCTCAATATGTGTCCTATCCATTTCCAGCGCGTCTTCCTGATTTCTTCCTCCATTGGGATCTGGTTTTTTCTCTCCCACAGTAGGTTGTTGCTGCTATGAACATAGAACAGACTAATAAGCTGAATAAAAAACAATAATAGTTAAAACTAGAAATTGAAACTTCTAGCGAACATAACGCACTTAACCATTAAATAAACTGAAGAAGCCAAGAATATAGGATATTTACAAAATATTAAGAACGTAGTAATAAAACCTTAACCCCATTTCTTATTCCAATATCATCACTTCTTCATTCTTAACTTAATAAATAATTGACATTCTACTGGATCTGTTATAACACTCATTTTTACTTTGTCTAATGTTATAACGGTTGGGTTTCCATGTTTGCATGTATGGGACGTTAATTTACCTTAGATGAATATCTACACTAGATTCCTTCCCAGTGTCTATTCTACAGGACTTCAACACAACTCAGATGATCAAGAACGTGAATATATTTCTACACCAAAACCCGACACAATCCAACAACAATGAACAATCAATAATATGTGAGTCCCAATAATAAGGATAGGGCAATATATAACGCATCTGACACCTGTCAGACAATCTACACATCTAACTAAGCAAACAACCAACATTATCATTCTTGCCTAAACGTCAGGATCATATATAGATATCATGGTATGACTTGTCTCACTTCCTATAAATGATCTCGATGGTCAATTAATACGAAGAACCTCAATTTATCTTGTGGTGATTTCACTTAATTCTATTGCTTGTTAAAGCTGTTTAACAACTTTAGTTAAACTTTTCAGATCATACTAGTCCCAGTGATTTGAGAATTTCTTGATCGAGATCATGAAGTATAATTGTCTAGCCTTTATACTTTACTAAGATAACAAATGTACATTGAACTGCTATTCGTAATGGACTGTATCATATTCATGAACACAAATAAACAGCTAAAGAAAAGAACTAATGAATGCTGAAACTAATTCAAATTCACTTGAATCTTTGCATTGATGTTTAGGACTGAAGTTGATCAGTCTCTTATTGGCATATGTGCATACTCTGCGTATTTCCATAATTCATAAGCATTAAAAGCAAAGATGGATATCAAAGGTGAATATTAACACTGACGAGTCCGAAATAGGACAAAACGCGTATCCTGGATTCCACTGCTAGCCACTATCCATCTTTGCTTATAACTAATTCAAATTTCGGATGGTGTGAGACAGCTAAATTTAATGTAGTAGACTATGAACTCCGTTAATTTCATAAACTGTTGTATACACAGAACTTCATTAATTTAAAGCAAACAGTTTTCCTTTAGTTAAACCTTCTATGTAGTTAAATAAATAGGATGTAGGGGATTATGATAAGAATGATAACATAAGCTGGATAGACAAAAACATTCTGAAATAAGCCATTTCAAATCAAATTAAGTCTCACAGGTGTTGCACAAGTGTGTGACTATCTGAGCTCAGCAGCTAAGTGGATAACGCGATAGCGTTTGAAGTGAACAGTACTAGATCCGAGTCCAGGAGTGAACGTTAACTCTCGATTGCAGACAAGTCCCGAATAGGACGAAATGAGGTATCTGGACTCCAGCATCGATAGCATAATTTCAAACATTTTTCAGGAATTCAAAACAAACTACAGATATATGGTTCGGTTACAATAGATAGGATAATTATAGAAGTTTTTTTCGAACCTAATTTCAAATTAGAAAGGTAGGCCCAGGACAGAGTGGGTTGGGAAATGTTGGTTGACTGCCTATGCTCTATTGGGAATAACAAGCTAAAGTAAGTAATTTCAAATTAAATGATAGAAGTTAGAATCGGCTATCTCACAAGTTTAATGTGCACTAGAAACCTGAACAGTGAACAGAAGTTTGTTAATTAAAACTATTTGCCTTACAATTTTCAAGTTGGAAGTTAGTGAAACTTATTCAAATAATGTAGTTATATAGAGATTATTTCTATGGATAGTGGACCAAATAAAGCCATTAAGCTAGTTGACAGTCATCTGGGATGCTGTTGAATGAACTAACGAAACTTATTTGAGATTAATGATATTACGAATTTTCATAGAAACATTCAATCGGAAAGTGTGAAAGCTTTTATTAAGTGAGACATAATCCAGAAGTGTATGTTCTGTTTTCGAACCTAGTTCAGTATCTACACTTATATTATCACAAGTATTTGTAGGATCTAAATATTTAATAAGGATAAGTGAAGTAGGTTTAATATGATTGTCAACCTGATCTACTAGGGAGGGACACGATCTCAAGTTTCGCTAAACAGGTTTAATATTAAATGTAATAAAGTTCAAGCGTAAGAATCTCGTAATTGATTGAAAGAAGATCCTTGAAGATTAATAGGCATTGGCAATACATAGACGAATATCAAGGAGACACGGAATGAGATCAATGGTGGTTACAATAAGATAACCTGATTGATATTCAGATGACTGACATTTCTTAGCTCCTCACAAAGTATCATATCGTTACTCTAAAGGTGTTATCATTACATAGCATAGAGAACAACTAGTTAAGCATGGTAAAACACTGTATTTTTTCTTTTATAACTATATATAATTCTTAGTGTTGGATGTAGACTTTTCAAACAGTAGCATCGGCATAAGAAATTCTCAGAGTAATTACGTGTAATATATCTAAAGTTGTTTATATGTGTGAAATACTTTACTGTACAGAATATTCAAGAGTAGGTCTTCATCCTTGAATTTGAAATCAAGCTAATTTCAATCTTATTGCATTTCAGCTAACTTACATATTATAAGATCTTAACGAACAAGTGATCCGATAAAAAAATAATATGATTCGCTGATTATATCAAAGAAGTCTAATCACCATGCCAAAGAAATAGATAATTCAGACTTTTAAAACATTAAAGGATACTTCATGTGAGCACAGCCTACCGGTGAACTCGAGGAAGCTCTAAGAAGCTCAGAAACAGCCGAAGATATTCCATCTAGTCATATTTTGGAAGAATATTTCAGAATCCCTACATGTAGCTTCCCTTTAAGTTGGCAAAAGCTGGAGACGATAACTAAGTGCAACATGCTAGTATAATTAATCACCAGTGTGAGCGTTTTAAATTATCAAAAATGACAGATCAGTTTAAATGTCTTTTTTTGGTATACAACTTGCAGTCACCTAAAGGTGCCGATATCAGAACCAGAATTCTTAGTAAAATTAAACAATGTTCAAATATAACTCTACAAGAAGTGGACTTAAAACATGACACTTCTAACGATTAAGAACAGTGATGATGGGTTGAGAAAAAAAAAAGAAGAACCAAAGTCACCCAGTAACTGGACGAGAATCACTGTAATTATTTCGAACAATCCGCATATAGAATTGTCGTTGTCATCGTCATCATCATCATCGTATTCCACGATTACTAGCAGAGCTTAAGGGCCAAATCTAACATTCAGTCAAAAGACAGATCACTTCATGATCAGTTTGTATGTTAATCATTAGATCATTGACATAGATTATAATATACACATATATCAATAAAAGATAAATTGAACAAAAGAAGTTATAAAGTAAATATTAGCATACATATACATACAAACACATAGAAAGAGAGGGAGGGAGAGAAAATGGTGGTGGTGGTGGCGGTGGGGAGGTACAGAAAGAGAATAACCAATGATTTCCATTTATCTCATACCATTATTCATTATTATTACCATGAATTTATAGTATCCATTTGTTTTAAACATCTATTATAATGTGTCCAAAATAAAGCTAAATCAGTTGAAGCAATTAAACGTTGACTATTGATTGGACAAAAAAAATTATTACATAACCATATAGTATCACATGTAATACCACGATGAATTATACAATATGAACATATTGTCTCTAAACGATTCAATTGTGATTGTACATGATGAATCTATAATGAGATAGAAAGAGAAATGAATGAATGGATAGAAATTAAACGGTTACTTTTTATATTGAAACATTCAAAAGCTATGTATATATATATATATATATATGTATATGTATATCTGTGATTTAGATGAAGTTTTGTTCTTTGAGCTGGATGGTTTAGTTATGAAGCTTTTATCATACTTCTGAACGACATCATCATCATCATCATCATCATCAGCAGCAGCAGCACAAACTTCAGGTAGAAGTGAAGTTTTTTTCTTTAAATATAATACAATTGAATAAATATATTCTATTTATCTAATGTTCGCAATCATTAAACGGTATTACAAGGCAAACCTAAATATGGAATCCTGAAGGGAAACGGAGAACAGGAAGATCAAAGAACACAATACATGGAGAATTGGAAAGGATTGTCGAGGATAGAGTTGCGTGGAGAATCCCGGTGGGCGGCCAATACAGATCTACGAGGGGTAACATGCGTACATAAGTAAGTTCTATCATTCACATTAACATCAAGTCATTAAATCGAAAGTGAATAACTCGTATTTCTAAATTTGAATCACTTTTCCTGGAGAAAGGATGTAAAAAGATTCAAATAGAATAATGTACATTCCTTTTATTACATTCGGTTTCAATCAATTGCTGTATACAACTTGTATTTTTTCAGAATAGAAAATAAAAAATGAATTGAGAATATATGCATAGAAGAATTTCGTTAGAGGTAAGCATACATCAGCATGGTGTAGCAAAGATGTAATTAAGTATTGATACAAAGGGGCACTAAATACATATGCGACACACACGTCACTTGATTTTGTGTGGGCTATGATACTACCCGGGTGTCCAAACCGAAGCAGGGCATTTTCTTAGGTACCCACACCTGGAGCCTTCGATAGAATGATCTGATCCACAAGACAGTGGAGCAACGTAAAGAGATGTAGTCCCATGGTAGCCGGTGACCAACAACTGGTTCACACACCATTTCGTCTTCAGTATACTGGAGCCCATGTATATCATTGGTTTGGAATGAGGATTTTCCAACCGCCCTAGGTCGATTATCCAAATACACATTCGCTTTTCATCCTCGAAATTTTGTGAACAACAATAATGTCGCGAGAAGGCAGTGAGTAGGACTTCCCTGACAGTGGCGGTATATGCGAGGCCATGTGAGAGCATTTGAAGAGGGAGAGCTGACTCTCCACAACATCGGCCGTACCAGGACATTAGAGGGCTATATATGTCATAAGTAGAACATTTTAGAAGATTGGCAGTAGATAAATAGCTATGAATAATAATTCACTCAATGAATAAACATTATTGATCAGTAACAATAAAATCGATGAGTCAGTTTTCAGGACAAGGTTGTGGAGATCGTTGAATTTTAATGGAGATCATGAACTAATCAATATTAGACCTGGAAACACTAAAGGTTAAGCGTTTGCGCTAAACCGAAGGTTTTGGGTTTCAGTCCCGTTCGAGGGATTGTAGATGTGTAGTACTGAGGAGTCTCATACTAGAAAGAAACGGCTATCTAATGCTTTCAAGTTTTCAATAGTAATCTAACGATGATCAGTTGATAATGTCAAATAAAATGGATTTTTTTTAACTCTCTATAGAATTAAATTAAAGGAGGAATGAGTACGAAATAACAAGATGTCACCCATGAAAGGGTATATGACTTAGCATATAACTGGATTAACTGCATATAATCAACTGTACATGCCTAATAAATCATATATACGAGTCCAACTAAGCGATTTCTGTAAAGCAACTATTTCTGAGTATAGTCTAATCATACCTTAATCCCAATGACATATATTTTTCACTTAATCTCTATTGCATAATCAAAGTTATATTGAATGCCTATAAAAAGACTAGTAAATAGTTGCTTGGATACTAATTGAAATAGTGATGTAACTTTTTCTTTCTTTGTTTTTTTTCTCTTCGCTAAATTTTTCTCTATGATTTAAACCTTTTTGAACATTATCATGAAATAATTCATACTTTAATGAATTTATAGATTAAGAGATATCGCGACTAAATCAATTCAGATCAGACCTATTACTGTTACGTAATCTATTCTATGATATCATATTCAAGTAATCAACAGGTTACAGTTTAAACGATTTAAATGTTAAAAGAACACCTACATTACAACCAAATTTTATAGTTCCAATATTCATTAATCGTGAATTACCATTAATACAAGTTCTACAATGACCTAATTGATCAGTAGAACTAGTATTTGGTATTAATATTTCACAACTGGGACAAATTCGTGGTGGTTGACCAACAAAAGCACGCATAAATGATGAAGGACGATAAATATGTTTATGTTGATTTTGTGAAATTAAATCAAGTTGTGATGAATTAGGAGATAAAATAAACGATGAAGATGGTGAACCTAGATTGATGAATTGATGTTGAGCTCTTGAAGGATAAAAATGAGACGGTTCTGAAGTCAAAATATATCGATGATGTTTAGAAGTGAAGTAACGAGGAAGTTCTGATAACCTATAATATGAACAAAAATAGAAGGAAAAAGATTAAAGATGCTTAAACAATTACTAATCAATGAAAGATCATAAGTTCTTGTCATTTTATGAGGATCTCTAATTACTCATATCACTGTTATTGGCTTTTTCGTCATGAATTTATTATTGATTTACTTTCACATATAAAAATTGGTACAAAGATGTACCAAATAGATTTGCCTCCAAATGCCATGGTACAGTGAAGGATGGAGAGAGTCAGCTCTCCATCACTAAATGCTATCACATGTAGATGCGTATAAAGTCACTGTCAGGGAAGTTCTACTTAATGCCTTCTCGCGGCATTATTGTTATATACGAGAGTGAGAGGATGAAAAGCGAATATCTGGCGCTTTAGTCAGGTTGGTGGACACGCGAGTTCACCTAGGGGAGTTGAAAAACTCAGATTCTAAACCAATGGGCACATGTGTTCCAGGATCCTGAGAGAGCAAGCGGCTTATGAACCTATTGTTAGTCACCGGTTACAATAGGACTGCATCTCCTGAAGTTGCTCTACTGCCTTCTGGATCACAGATGTTTAGTTCAAAGGTTCCGGGTTTAGACCCCCGGGCAGTATCATAGCTCACATACAAATCAAACGACAAATACTATGTTAAATAACTCCTGTAATTTAAATGATCAATTAGCTTTCTTATAACATACAAATGTTATCTTTATTTGTTTATTTGAACATATAAATATTGGCACAAAGAGGCACCGAATACATATTCGCAACATAAGTGTGTGTGTGGGCTATGATACTGTTTGGGTGCTCAAACCAAAGAAGTTGGTTTTCTTAGGGGGACACTTCCAGAGCCTTTGACCTAAAGGTCTGATCTCCAAAGTAATGGAGCTACGTCAAGAGGTGCAGTCCCACGGTGGATGGTGACCAATGATTGATTCAAACAGGATACTGGAGCCCATGTGCAACAATAGTTTGGAATATGGATTTTCCAACTCCTCTAGGTGGACTCTCCGTGTGCACCAACCCTGGTTACAGCGACGGCATTCGCTTTCTGTTCACTTAGTTACGTAAATAACACTCCCGCCACGAGAAGACCGTGGGAATTGATATTGAACTGTATACCATTATACGAGTGACCATTTCAGAGCATTTGGAGAGGGAGAGCTGACACTATTCACCCTAGGCCGTACCATAGCATTTGGGAGCACATATAAATACATATAAATACGAATATTTCTGAAAGGATGTTAAGTAGTTTATAAAAAATACAAAATTTCTTATAAACACGAACTAACCAAGTTCGAACACGCCAACCAATAACTTGTGTCATTCTTTCAATTGGAGGTATAAACTGTTTATCCAAATAATATGCATAATTTAAACGTGGTCCTAGAACACGACGTGATGTAGTAGATTTTCCAGTAATCCATAAAGAAGGATAAATTTCATGTACACTTCGAACACATGATAATAAAGTTTGATCAGATCTTCCAGCTGCTACATAATAAACAACACGTTCACCACGTGATGGTTCACCTCGTGGATCCATGGAAAGAAGACGTCTAGACAATACAATCGGAAAAAAGGTATATATATATATATATATATATATATATATATATATATATATATAAGCGGTAAAAAAGGAGTGTAGAAGATAAGCAAGAAAACTGAAGAGACAGATAATTCATCTATTGGTATTTTTTGGGGATGTTCGATCCCTAGAACTCACATGGTAAATATCTTATTTTTGTAATTTTATTTTAAAACTTTGAATTTCTTTGTTTTCGCGCCAAAAGCGCTCATTTTCACTTTCATGTCGTATTTTCCACTCAGGAGAATCTTAAACTCTATTGGTTTATTGTATCTTTTAGAATGCTATTTTGTAGCCCTACCCGAGGACAATTTTATGCTGTATATATATGTGTGATTTGTGTCTGTTGTGATTGTTTGTACTTTTGTCTAGTTTCAGAATATATTTCCCCATTTCGAACTTTGACTTCTCTCTCTAGTTATCGAGGCTGGGATGCATCAGAATAGCTAGCTTATTGGTCATCGGTCACAGAATCTTTGTTCCGTTCTCAGACTAGATGAACTGATAATCGTTTCAAACATAGAAGTATGAATACCAAATAGTACTCAACAAATGTTTGAAGTAATATCAACAGTCCATAAATCTGCTTATTTAGACATACCCATTATGGAAATATAAACGGGAGACTTTATAATTGCATAATCAACTATTTAAATAGTGTTTTTCTTAATTAACACTACAGTGTGAACAGTTATTCTGTAATGATATCACTTAATCTCAGGTTTACGATCTTTTGATGCTCTAGAATCATCTTTCTAGTGTATTGTATTTATCTCTAATAGTTGATTCCTACTATCTCCAACTAACACACATCTTCCATAGTCACCATCATCATTAACATCAGTAAACATTTGAACCAAAATGAAAGGATTACATTATTAACAATTATAACAAAATTATATAAATTGTTACTTGGCAACTTGTAATGCTGGTGCAAATGTTCCCGGTTTATAAGAGGATAATCCCCAATATGGTCTAGTAATAATACATTTATGAAATGGTATTCTTCCATGTATAAGAAGATAGGCAAAATGTTGAATTTTATTTCTTAGATTATTTTCAGCAAGTTTTAATATTTTATCCAAATGTTTATAAGGTTGATTAACTAAATTGAATTATACACATAAATCAATTAAGTTAAACAAAACAAAAAGAAAATTTAATAGTTGAATTCATGAGTCAATGGAATCTAGATCATCATGAAAAATCTGGAAGTACTTGAAAGGCAGGGTCGTGGATGCCCACTGCTGAAGAGTTTCATACTCGGAAGAAACGACTGTTTAGTGCTTCCAGGTATTCCATAGTGGTTTAGCTTCAATTGAATCATGATTACAAATATAAGAAAAAAAATGAATTAGCTGAATATATCATTACACAATAGATACATTATGATATGAATGACTATACATGTGTTTCGTCCTAATATCAAACTCATCATCAGCTGGATGGCGTAGACACATTGATAACAACTTAAGCATACATAAGATTGACTGTACTCGCACTATAGCGAACTCTACTTAATTTGGTTGGGGACAAAAATGTTTACTTGAGATATGATGTATACAAATAACTATCCGAAGTTGACATTCAACAATCGTAAACACTAATAATGGGTTATCAGATAGACAGTAGAACAAATCCCAGTTGATGATATCAAGGTATTTAGATCAAAATCGAATAAGTACAAAATTTCTTTTCAGTTTATGTTGTTATTAATGGAATCTCTTTATTTATTTAAACACAAATATTGGTACAAAGAAGCACCGAATACATATGCGCCACATAAGTCACTTCATTTTTGTGTGGGCTGTGATACTGCCGGGGTGCCCGAACCAAAGCAGGTGGTTTTCTTAAGGGAGTCACACTCAGAGCATTTGACCTAACGGTCTGATCCACAAGGCAGTGGAGTAACATCAGGAAATGCAGTCACATGGTAGGCGGTGACCAAAAATTGGTTCATAAACTGCTTGCTCTCTCAGGATCCTGTAACACAAGTGCACTAATGGTTTAGAATCAAAGTTTTCCAACTCCCCTAGGTAGATTCTCTATATCCACCATCCCGGTTAAAGAGCGGGACATTCGATTTTCGTCCTCTCATCTTCGTAAACAACACTCCCGCCACGGGGAGCCAGTGAGTAAGACGTCCCTGGTGGCGATTGTATGCATGTGGCCATGTGAGAGCATTTGGAGGTTTTTTATACAGTATACATGTGATCTCAATTCTTTACCCTTGTCACTTTAAAATGAAAGCCAGTCGTAAGAACCTCCAACAAGTTCATAACTTAAATTAGATTGATGATAGCTAACAGCACCAATAAGTAGATCCTGTCCTATAAAAGTGTAAACCCACTAAACACTTATATCTAATACACATAGAATCTGCCTTTTATCAGGAATTTACATCATCAGATATTTTAGGCATTAATTTGAAAGAAATGAAGAAAAGCAACTAATAGTTAACAGGAAACAGTATACCATACTGACGACTTCGGATTAACTAATCAGTATTAAGATAATGCTTAATGTATTTTGAGCGAAATTTAAAGTACAGTGAGACATAACTTAATTATAATCGTCAATTAAGGGAAAATTGGTAATATTCTGTTCTTAAAATGCATAGAATCAATAAAAGTACCCATGACGCAATCAAATAATAGATTTAAGACGGTACTTACGTTAAATTACTAAAGCTAGACGGTATTCTTACACTCGAATTCTTGTTCTTAATCTCAACATTTAGTTTCTCAAGAATGTAAACAGAAAGATGACAAAGCATAGCATCATAGTTGATATCAGTACGTGATGAAAACAATCAACCCCACATGCATACAACCACTACCAGAAAAGTCCTACTCACTGACTCCTCGTGGCGGAAGTGTTGTTTACGAAATTGAGAGGACGAGAAGCGAATGTCTGACGGTTTAATCGGGGTGGTGGATTCAGAGGATCTAATTAAGGAAGTTGGAAAAGCCTGATTCTAAACCAATTGCGAACATGGGCTCCAGTATACTAAAAGACAAAATGGTGTATAAACCAATTGTTAGTCACCGGCTACTATGGAACTACATCTCCTCATGTTGCTCCACTGTCTTGTGGATCAGATCATTAGGTCGAAGGCTCCAGGTGTGGGTTACTGAGAAAACCACTTGCTTCGGTTAGGGCACCCGGGCAGTATCTCAGGCATCACAAAAATCGAATGATTTATGTGGCGCATATCTATTTGGTAACTCCTTGTACTAATGTTTATGTGCTTAAACAAGATAAATGTAAAGGAATCTCACAGCTGCAGCTTAACTCGGAATAACTAACCCTAATCACTTAGCATGTTAGTCGGTAAAGAAGACTATATGAGGTGATAAGCTTAATTCATAACACTAGTCCGACTCTTAAAAAGCAATATTGAACTGTTTTATTTTATAGTAAAGAATAATTCAACATGTGACGGTTGATTATTCAAGATCATACTATTATCCCCCTGTAATAATATTGCTTTAAAGAGTTCATTTTCTCACAATTATGCAATGTCTCTTGATTGGCTGATAGGACATTCAAGATAGTCAGTATAGTATACTTTAATCTAATTAACTGATATGAATTACATCAGATAGATCTATTACGTATAAGATATACATACCTTTATCTTCATGTAAATTCCCTTCTATATCTTTCAAACAATTTGGAATAGTGAAATGATTAAAGAGAAGTTTAAAATATTCTTCAAGAACCTATAATTCAATAGAAAATGAATAATAAAGTCATTCAATATAGTTAAATTCATTAAAAAAATATTAACAAGGGATAATCCTTTCAATTAAGTTGATTATAGAATATGTAGATTATAAGCAAAGATAGATAGTGGAATCCAGAAGGCAAGTTTCGTCCTATATGGGACTCATCATCTTTCCTTATAAAGCTTTTGACTTTAGGCAGTATTAAGGCAGTCCTCACAGGATGTACATATATTAACATGAGACTGACACATTGTAGTCCTCAATAACAACATCAAGTGAACATGCAGATTGTTTATGTCATACAAATTTCTGATTCACCTAACTAATAACTTGTAAATTTATTTTATCGTCAATTGTGAACAGAAAGACTGATTAAATTTGAACTTATGACTTTCATTTAATGAATTGCAGGCAATACATCTAATTCTGGATAATAAGTATCAATGATTATTGTACAATAGCTCTTGTACTAGGTCTCATATGTGGTAAAAGAGTGGTGAAGATTTGTAGCTCAAGTGGATGATTCTGATGGAGTTTTGTTCTCTGAGCTAGATGGTTTGCTTGTGGAGCTTTCAGGGTTCTTCTGAACGACATTATCAACACAAACTTCAGGTAGAAGTAAAGTGGTTGGATTCCACTCATAACTATCCTAAATAATATATAATATCCAGACCAATAACGATTTTTCTACTTATCCGTTTCTTTCTCTTGCTATGATAACAAAATGTGATAATTGAGAGACGATTTACGTTTGTGCCAGATTTTCAATCAGACAGAAATAACAGCGACTCGAGCATAAACATGCGTTAATCCAAGAGTCGAAATATGGCGGTAGCAATGGCTGAACATTAAGAATTATATTCAGAAAGACAAAGTGATAACGTATGTATGAAATAATATCGGGAGATAAAGAGCGAATACGATTGAAGCATACTATCTAACATCTTCCATCACTGATTATGGTTACAATGAGGACTACAACCAGATCATCTGAATCAATTAACATGGCTCAGATCAATAGTTAATGATTTTATGAACGGATACTATGTCGTAATTTCGCCGCGTTTATAGAGATTTCTTCTATAACACAGTCTGTTGAGGTAGATCGCGGGTAGTCAGAAATTGAACCATACAGAGATCTCAACATCCAATAAATCAAACCTATGGAAATAATCAAATCAAGTATTCACTTACTTCTCCTACAAATGGACAACTATCACGTCTTACAGTTTCAATTCCTTTTGCATCAAATATAGGTTTATTTTGTTCAACAGTTTCATAAGCATAACCAACATATCGTTTTTTTGCCTCTAATAGACATGGATAATAAATCTGAAAGTGGAATTGTTTATAGTATGTATCAAACAAAACAAAGAAAAACTCATAAATCAAGATAATTCCAAGAGAAAAAAAGTCAATGATGGATTACATAGAGAAATCAAGTATCTTTTCCCAAGGATACTTCAATCAAGAAGATTATTCTAGGAATATAAGGTTAATTGATTTATTGAAAGAATATTACCGATGACATAAATAACATTTCTTTACGAAAATGCTATCGACAGTACGTTAACCATACAGGAATTATCATCCGTTAGAACACAAGCATATTTATCGGTATCCAATATCGATTAGTTATTTCTAACTAAAGTTGAAAAACACTGTTGAATAAGATGAAGAAATTTACAGAGTACAGGGAATTTATGAACAAAGTAAAGAAAAACACTGACAATTGGGTGTTATACGTGTTAATTCTCAAATGATGTCTCAACGAATAGTATGTACCGATAGCTCCCAAATGCCCTGGTACGGCCGAGAGTGGGGAGAGTCCGCTCTCCCTCTCGAAATACTCTCACATGGTCACGCGTATATAGACTCTGCCAGGGAAGTCCTACTCACTGCCTTCTCACACCACGAATGTTGTTTACGAAAATGAGAGGACAAAAAGAGAATGTCCGGCGCTTTAACCGGATCCCAAATCAATGGTGTACATGAGCTCCACTATCCTGATGGAGCAAATGGCGTATGAACCAGTCGTTCGTCACCGGCTACCATGGGACTGCATCTCCTCACGATGCTCCACTGTCTTGTGGATCAGATCTTCAGGTCGAAGGCTCGGGGTGTGGCCCCCTAAGAAAAACACTTGCTTCGGTTTGGGCACCCGGGTAGTATCACAGCTCTCACACATATCCAATGAGATCTGTGTGGCGCATATGTATTTTGAGGCCTACTTGTACCAATATCTATGTGTTAAAATAAATAAATAAATGTACCAATAACCATTTAAAGTATGAAGAATGATGTTGATGACCATGTTGGGTTATTTGATTATTCAGGGAGTGAATCACACTTGATATTTTGCTGAGGAAATTGAGATACGGTCGAGGTTGATCCATTTGGCCTATTTATACAACGTATTTTACTAGTAAAATATTAGACTATTCATTAAGCAATAATTATAATGATCAGAAGACAAGACTAAGGAATAGACGAGTGTCCATGATGGATATTGATCGCAAGTGGATTTTCAACAGCGAATTAGAACACTAGGTAAGCAGTATACAAGTAAGTAGGAAGTTTCGATGAGATCAAGTACCATGGTAAACTGTTTATATACCTTGAATAAATTAACTTTTACCTAATTATTGGTGAATATAATTTATGACAAACACTTTCTTCTTCAGACATAAACCTAATCTATTCAAATAAATACCTTTCCACATACGAATGAATTACGCTTTCCACTGGAATGTGCAGTATGATAACATGAGCTGACAAGTTGATATATCATTACGAAAATAATTTCCCATGAAGTCCTACACATCATCTCTTAAAATATAACAATAACATGTCTAAAAGATGCAAAACGGAGAGAGACATTACTGAAAAGCTATTACTACTAATCGGTGACAAACCATTACTTTCGTGGGAAATATCAAACTACTAATATTTTGCCAGTAGTTAAGTAGCTAATTAAGAAAATATCAATGTAAAAAAGATCACAAACCTTTTCAAGTTTTAATTTAATGGGTACAGGATTCATTGATGTTACTTCCTTGGCAATTTGATATGCAGCATCGAATGCTTCTGATTTACCATAACCTTTAAGGTGTATAAATAAACTATCTGTATCACCGTAGACTACTAGTGGTGTTGGAAGACCGTTACAATTATCTGGTAATACAATCTTGCCACTGTTAACTAGTTCAATAGCATTTTCTAAAATTTCTCTGGCTTTATGCACAATACTATCACCAAGCTGAAAATTAATCAGGTATAATAATCACAATAAGAATGGAATTTTGAAAGGTTCTAGTAATCTTCGTGGTCTCATTAGATTATCCAAATCGAGGGACAGTTAATGAACGATATATAATAAAAATAATGTACTATTTTCTGATAAACAAAAATAACAACAAAAGATGTTGATTACATATATTATGGCACCGAAATATTGATGGGACAGCTGAACCTCTTTGATGTGCATTTACAAATTCAGCTGGGTCTATGGATATTGGTAATCTTTGATCAGGTGATAGTTTAAAGTACCTTCTCGCAACAGGACTGTTGTCTACAGTCAGTCAGTCAGTCAGCTGCAACGTAGGACCAGGCACGTATATGCATCGGTCCAAGTTGCCATACCGCATTAGCACAAGATGAACACCGGATTGTTGTCTACGAAATTGAGAGGATGAAAAGCAAATGTCCGTCGCTTTAACCAGGTTTGTAGATATGGACAATCCAATTAGAGAAGTTCGTAAACACTGATTCTAAATCAATGGTGCACATGGGCTCCAGGATCCTAAATGGACAAATGGTGAATAAGTCTATATTCAAGTTCATCGGCTAGCATGATACTGCATCTCCTAACGCATAATCTAAGCTTGACTGATGGAATTAAGCCGTCAGTGAAGATTGGACAAGAACTACTCAGTATTACACGAAACAATAAAATATGATAATGAAGACAAATTATACAAACGATCAAATGAATTGGCGGTAAAGTTACCGAAAAATAAACTGACTCGACATTTTTTATCGAGATTAGCTTACGTCTACACACGGCATACGTCCAGAAAAACTTGCCGCAGTATAACCATATATCACATTAGCCATTAATTTTAATCCAAGCTGTCGTGCATCTAGTAATCTGTTTAAACACTATAAATATGTTGATGGGTAGAGAAAAAAACAGAGTAAGCGCTAATAAAGAACAAGAAAAAGAAAGCACAATTCTAAATAGAATTCATTCTGTATAATAATAATAAACAGTTGTTTAAGAAACCGAAAGATGCTAGGATCATTTTTGTTGTATGATTGAATGTTGTAGAACTAGAACAAATAAAGATGAGACTATAATTTATGGATGAACCAATCAGATTTAGGATAACAGGTCCTGGATTTTGGCGCGAAATTCACTCATCCATTCGTTCAAATAGCGTCTTGGCATTTTAGTTGATGTTAGTTCGTGATGAGAACCATAAATCTAAATCCTGACCCTTACCATTCACTGTAAATCATTGTCTTAATTCTTTAAACTGCTTTATAACATTTGTTTAGCTCTATTAAGTAGGTAGACACTATTAAGGTCACTTTGGCGTCGCTCAAAGGTCTCCCATAAATTATAATCCCACCCAAATAAGTAGTTGGTTGCCAAAGTGATAACGATGCTTAACTCCAATTAATGGTATTTATCAAGAAGAATAACTGTTAGAACCTTTGTTTAGTGAATAAAGTTAATATTTGTTGTATTATTTTAGACAATGTTGTGTCTTTTAGTCTGCACTGAGTCTAGTGAATCGGCTTCAGTAATTCAAAAACGTGTTCTATTTGTAAATAGTTAAGTGATCCAATTATTGACATTTTGCATAATGAACAATTAACATGTCCACTAACAAACTTTCTTCTTAAACCAACAGTCGTAATGACTCATAATGCAACTTTAATGCCCCATTTGGTTTTAGAAAATCTGATCTCATCTGATCGGAATATCAATGAACAAATGGTACTTATAAGTCTTCTAGCTAAACGCTTGAATCAATTTCCTGAACTCTTCTAATAACTTTAGTCTAAATCTACACGACAACTTAGTCTATGTAAGGAAAGTAGAGTGTATGTATAGTACTACAGATAGCCTTGGGCTTCTGGAAGGTTCTGGAGTCATACTAAACATAGTAGAAGACAGGTAATCAATCAATCATAAACGTGACACGTGACTCTCCACTTTCTAGACACTTTTAAGTAACTCCTATTCAATGCTGATTGGATAAAACGTTTTCCAGAGTTTTTAGGACCCCTTTGGACTTTTTCAAGAAATACATTGGATCTCTTCCCAACAGTTACTATTATAGGGACTTTGACACGACTAACTACTACTACTGACATTTAGTTTGTTTAGAGATCAGGCCAACAGTCCATAAATTTCGTCATATGTATGTGCATCTACGCTGACCTGTAGAGGAAGACTGGAAAATTATGTTCATCATCTTAGTTCATTCCAAAGAAAAGATCTAATTAAGTAATCGAAAACAGCTTCGGTTATCAAGATTTTGAGTTATATTGTGAATGTCATAGATTAAAGGAATGAGTTAGTAATACAACTAAGGTTTGATGTAATTAAACAAACAGATATCTAAACTAATCAATAAACTCAGATTTGTCAATTTTCAAGGGTTAGTTGCTACAACAATAACCTGCTTCATGATACATTGAGTCAATCAGAAATCAGCCGAATAATAAATCTATGTGACTAGCCATAAAATAGTATAAAACATATACCATTAATAGTGCATTTCTATTTTGGTTTAATCAGTAAACTTTCTTAGCAATATCATTCGGTTTATTCGAGTAACCGCCGGTTGGGTTCCCGTATTGGAAGATTGAGGATTAACATCAAAAATTGAACATCTCATGTCACAAATTTCTTTATAGTTGGAAAAAATCTTCCTTTAATAACAATTCGATGGTTTTTAATAATAACATATACTTTTATCGCTGATTTGTATATTTCTCAAGTCCTATTGGATTAGCTGGAAGTATCAATATGATGATAACCATGTTCCTTAACATGAATCAACAATTCAAGACGAAAGTCTATCTACAAGTTAAAGGAATCTTTCAAATCTTATTCAAACTAAAGTATTTCGAAAAGTTATAAGACTTGCTAATTGAACGCTATATTCGATTCTTAAGCTCTTCTGGGAACCCCCAAGCTAGAAACTACACAGAGACCTAAACACGAGAGAAAAGGTGCAAAATACGCGAGAAGCATTTTACACCAAAGGTTCATTTTAGTACAGAAAATATAGGGTTTTTTATAGTATTTTAAATGTCCTTGGATTTCCCAATAATTCTCGAATGCTACTAAACATAATAGCTGGATAGTAATCAACTAATCAGAACCTTTTCACTTTCATGATGTTTCTGGCTGAACTTCAACTGGACGCCGATTGGATAATAAAATGCTTCTTATTGTTTCCTGAGTCTTTCTTGGCTTTTGCAAAAAGTTTTTTGGATCACTCCAACTAAAAGTTTCAACTGTTTTAATTCCCTTTAACTAGAAGACTCATTGAAGTTCATCTATTGTACTATAGTAACTAAACGATTATATTTTATCAAATTTTCCTCTCATAAAATAATCAATTTCTTCAAGTACAATTTTTCTTAAAAAAAAAAATTTATTCAAAAATCAATAAATTGTAAGTCATTTATTAGAATCAGGAAGAAGTTTTGTTAAATTCATAAGTCAATGAAAGTTAGATCACTATGGAAAACCTAAAATCACTGAATGGTTTTGGGTTTGAGGTCTGAATATCGCAAGGAGGGATCGTGGATGCACTCTGCTAAGGAGTCCTATAATACGATGAAACGTCCGTCCAGTACTTCCAGGTTTTCAATGGTGGTTTAGCTTTAATTTACTCATAAATTCAACTATTAAATTACATTTATTATATATTTTTTTTATTTCTGTTAAGTTAAGAAACATAAAAACACACGACTGTTCCTATACATACTAAATCGTTGAAAGGTCTTTAGTTTTCATAATGAAAAGTATTATTAAATTCAAAATTATTGCCACTTCTTGAATATGTTTATCACAGTGAAAGCGCATCAGTGTTAACCTACTACTACTACCACTACTACTACTACTACTATTATTACTCCTTAGGGAATATAATGAGTATTTCTTTTGATAAAATAAATTATTGAACAATAATCAATAAAAACCATTACCTTATTTGTTTTATACAATTTAATTGAATCTTTCACCATTAAACGAGTTGTTATCAGCTGTTTTAACATGCTAGAAATCAATAATGAAATATTATTTTAATATAAATAAAAATTAAAATGACTTTAATAAAATAATCATTATGTATTTCTATTTGTGTGTGTGTGGGGGTTGTGATACTGGCCGGGTGCCCAGACTGAAGCAAGTGATTTTATTAGGGGGGCCACACCCGGAGCCTTCTACTTAAAGGTCTAATCCATAAGGCAGTGGAGCAATGTAAGGAGATGCAGTCACATGGTAGCCGGTGGCCAACGATTGGTTCATATGCCATTTGTTCTCTCAGGATTCTGGAATACATGTGCACCATTGGTTTGGAACCAGGGTTTCCCAACTCCCTTATGTGGATCCCCCATAGCAACCAACCCGGTTAGTGTCAGACATTCACTACTCGTCCTCTCAATTTCACAAACAACACCCCCGCCACGAGAAGTCAATGAGTAGGACTTCCCTGTCAGTGGTTGCATACGCGTGGTCATGTGAGAGCATTTCGGGAGAGAGAGCTGACTCTTCCCACCCTCTGTCATATCAGAGTATTTGGGGGCAAAATAATCATTCACACTGTTTTTTTATGATCCAGTAAAAATACATTGTGTCGTCCATAGTAGGATTGAAAACATAAGAAAATAACTCAAGAATTAACGGAAGAAACCCATAATGTATGTGTGTGGCATTGAACAAGATAGCGAAGAGCTAAATATACCACATGACTGTTTGACACAATTTACAATTGCGTTAACTTAATCAGTTATTTGCCATTAATTGACGATTGAACAGTGACCAATATCATGTATGTTGAGTTATACTTAATGTTCAGTGGTAACAAATCTTTGACTGTAAAATTGGATGACACAGGATAGAAACAGACAAGAACTATCAATTTCTTCAAGATTACAGGCACACCTTGTTGATGAGCAGCAAAGGGCACAAAACCTAAGTTCAGGGTTTCCTGTCGACTACCTCTGAATTACCTTGTGAATTCGGTTATAACTTTAATTAGTCCGAAGAAATGGTTTACACTAAGTTACGAAACATCAAAATATGTGACTTCTACTCATTGAAACATCAGATATTATTATTATTATTATTATTATTATTATTATTATTATTCGTAACTATAGTTTTAGTGAGAAGCAGTGACCAGTGGAGTTGTGAGATAGTAACTCACTGAAGACAATGGTAAACGGTGGACATTAACGCTGTTGTATGTAATAATAATATGTTTACAGTTCTTTTGTAAATAACTGAATTGTTTCTAGCTACAATTGATTTATCTGTAAAGGATGACCAATGTAGTCGAAGGGGAAATCACAAATTTCAGATCAATAGACTTTAAATACACCACCTACGGAACTAAGTATTCTTAGCTGGTATATCAGATTCACTTCATAGTGATATATGAATTAAGTTTGATATTTGTCAGTGATACAATAGATAAACAAAACTTTATTAATAATGAATGAAATTTAATTGTCAAGACTAAGATTCTGATGAGAGTCATAAAGCTTAATTTCAATAGATTAATTCCTTTTCAATATCATCGGTGGATAACTGTCTCACACTTGACACAGTTGGATGCTATTCTAGTGGTTTAAAGCTTAAACTCTTGTTGCAAGACACGGATTACCGATGGAATTATGGACATGTATAGCTAAGACATCCTATACTACTTGAACGATGGTATTAACAGAATATATATCTTGTCAATTCCAATAAACTTATGTAAACCCTTCAAAATTCTCTATAATTATCTATCTTACTTGTTTCCGGACTTCAATTAATTACTGCTTCACCCGTCCCCTATCCTATCTTTTTGAATCCAATGTCCAAATGACCACAAATCTGTTTTTATACAAATAGATAGATAGATAGATATAAGATCATTGTTGATAATCCCTGTTACTCTAAATCTTTCTACTATCAATGTCAATTGTTTCACATATCATAATTAAATATTACTTGTTAATACATATTAATTGTTGTAAGTAGCTGATGCAAAACCATAAAATACAATGAAACCACAATTGATTGATCACTGGATGGTGATCAATGTCATGTGTGTTAAGTCCTTCTAAGTGCAAATCGAATGAATGATAGCATTTTGATTACATCTCAGTCCTGTAGGAGGTCAGTCGAGGCCCGGATAACCTAGTGGTAACGTCTCTGACTGTGAAGATGGGTGACAAGGGATCGAGTCTATCAGCGAGCATCAGTTCCCTAAGGATTACAGGTATATTTTGCTGACGAGTGTTGAGTAGCACGAAACCCGGGTCCACGGTTTCCTGTTGACTACCTCTAACCACAATCTTATCAAAATGAAATCATATTATTCTGCCTCAATTATTATTAATTCTTAAATCGATAATCCAAATGAAAATCTACTATATTTCTTACCGTGGTAGAATTCCTTCCCTTATTGATTTTTTCACAAATACAACTCCATTTGGTGATATATTAACTTCTCGACCGATTCTCTACATTCGAACAATATAATAAATTAGAAAAACTTTATATCATTTATAGTATATAAGTCTAATAAAAAACCAATTAATATAACAAATCCATTTAATTCACTTGGTATTGTTTGGCTTATATCTTTCCATTGAGATTTAAGACTGCAATTGATCAGTCTGGGTTCGAGTCCCAGAGTGAATAACAACTCTGAGATGCAGGTACCTCTAGCTGACGAGTCCCAAATAGGACGAAAACGCGCATTCTGGATTCTACTGCTAGCCACTATCCATCATTGCTTACAAAAATCCATTTAATGATTAGTAAAAATTACATTTTGAAATTGTTCAGATAATCTTAGGTGCTCAACTGGTTTTCCAAAGAACTAATCAATCTATTGAAAACCTTCTTTATGCTACTATAATAGTAAAATAAGCCAAGTTCAAATATATAACAGATTTGATTAGTTTAACCTTAACAATATAAGTGTTGGAGAATACAATGTTTATCAATAAATAATATGGATTGTAGAGATGATTGAAATCAAGGAGTTATGTTGTCTTAATTGAAGATCTCTCCATTTGTGTGATTTACATATTTCAATTACATTAATTAAGAGTAACAAGTATTCTCTTGTGTAATTTCATTGTTGAATATCAACAATGAAATAATACTAACCCTTACAGATAAAAGGATGGAGAATAGTTGTAGGTGAGGTTTAGGATCTTGAAGATAATAGCAGCCTCTGACTAGGATGATTTTGTTGTGAGATTTTCATTGTTCTTTCGAGCCCCCAAATACTATGGTGCAGCCGAGGGTGGTGAGAGTTTACTCTCCCCCTCCACGCGTATGCAGCCACTGCCAGGGAATTCCTACTGACAGCCTTCTTGCGGCATAACTATTGCTTACGAAATCGGGAGGACGAGAAGCGAATGTCCGGTGATTTAGCCAGGTTGGTGGATACGGAGGATTTAATCTAATGGAGTTGGAAAAGCATCATTTCAAACCAACGGTGAACATGGGCTCTAGTATTTTGAGCGAGCGAATGGCGTATGAACCAATAGTTGGTCACCGGTTGCCATGGGATTGCATCTCCTGACATTGCTCTACTGCATTGTGGATTAGACCTTTAGGTCAAAGGCTCGAGGTGTGGCTCCCTAAGAAAAGCATCTGCTTCGGTTTGGGCACCCGGGTAGTACCACAACCCACACACAAATCAAGTGACTTGTGTGACGCATATGTATTCGGTGAACCTTTGTACCAATATTTATGTGTTTAAATAAATATATAAATAAATATTGTTCTTTTGAACATCAGAAGTACATATACTAATAATATTGTTCAGAAGAACAATGAAAACTTTACAACCGAATCAACCAGCTTACAGACCATAATATCTTCAATAATATAAAGCGTCAAATTTATTGAATCAGTTAATTATTACTTGGGCTCTATAGCTATGTGGACAACACATTGATGTTTCCAGTGAAATCTAATCGACTCAAATCTCCGCTTAAACAACAACACTTTGATTTAGGAAAATCCAGTGCTTCCTGGATCTTACTCTTGGCCACAACCCATATACTCTAACAATTAGTTTTAGTTAAAAATCAGACTGTAATCTTTACATGAATCACTTATTACATAATCGATAGCCTATTGTCAAGTTTGTAATGTTTAACAGGTTTCTACTGATTATGCTTATAAAATAGACATTTCGCTGTATGATTTCATTTAATGATGTAATCCGAATGGACGATTAAAATTAAACGATAGGATGTTGTGAAGGTACAACTTATGATGGTTAGTATTTGTCAACAATACATATTTATAGTCTGTCTCTAGACCATTTAACATTGTTTATATGTTAGCATTATGTCAATTAGAATTTTAAGGAAATGAAATGTTAGTTATCTTTTTGTTAAAATTCACTTTAGTATAAAACTTATTAAGAAGAGAGTTGATAAAATTTCGTCAATAAATTGTTAAGCGCTCGCGAGGCAGGGTCGTGAATACGCACTACTCAGGAGTCCCATAACAGGACGAGACCGCTATCTAATGCTTCCAGGCTTTCCATAATGGTCTAGCTTCAATTGACTCATGATATCAACTATTAAAATTACTATAAGATCTATAAAACCCCCTTTCGGATATTAATAAATTGTTAACATGAATTTATAGATCAAACTTACCTTGATCAGACCAGATGGTAGTGAATGTGATAAACAACCAAGGTTGAATGAAACTTCTTCACTTCATCACACACATACAAAAAAAAAGAGAGGCAAAATACAAATGCACAATTCATGAAAGTTTAATAGTCAAGCATTTTATTAAACTTAACAAATCACAATACAAAATTCGTTTATTCCTTCCAGAATAGTTAGTAAACAACCAACTTACTGTTTAATTCTGTAGACGATCACTATAGAAATAATCATCGGAAGAAAATATTTGATGTGGCTTTAAAATGGCTTCCTGAAAGCTATTGAAAATGTTGATCAAGATCTGCGCGCGACTATCATGATCAGTTGTTGGAGATTCTGGGTGACATGACTTAGAATCGATCATATTGATGTAGGTGTATACACTGTTTGTCTTCCCTGAAACTGCGAGATTAAAATTATTTTATGCCATTATTTCGATGAACTAATTTTTTCTCCCTCTATCATACCTTTATATTCAATCCGTTCTTTATATATTACTACCATTGAGGTAACTGTTTAAATGAATTCGGTGTTCATCTTGTTATGCTAATGAGATGTAAGGCAACTTAGACCGATGCATATGTGCCTGGCCCTACGCTGTAGGCGACTGATTTAAAATGTTTATCGTTCTAAGAGAAAAAGACTGTTCCATACACCGTCATCGATGAACAGTGGTTAACGTTAAAAAAACAAGATATCCAGTCAGGTATCTTGTCAGTGAATTTTGTTAATAGAAAGTGAATATCATCAACGATTTTGTAAGGATAGACATTTAATCGCAACGTCATTTTAGTAACACGGAGGTTATCATTTTAAATCGAAGACTTCGTGGGATTGGACATGTAATACGAATGTCATCCCAGCAAAGTCTATAACGTGAATTATTCGCCGACGTTGGGATTGGTTGGAAAAAGTGGCGGTCTGTTTTTGACATGGAGCTGAAGTATGGAAGAAAGTTGGGTAAAACTGCCATCTATCGGAGCAGCTTAGTAGCTCGAGACACTATCGGATATGACCTAGAGCAGAAACTAATGTCGGATCCTATTGTGATTTGCTTTTGCATTCTTCATATAAGTGCGAGGAACTTCTTTAAACGAAAGAATCCTTTCTAGTTGTATTTTTTTCAACTGAACTGCCTTTCCCATCATATACTACTCTCGTTCACTTACTTTTATTCACTGGTTGTTTTTAATTATATTTATCCTCCTTCCTTTGTCACTTCATAACCTCATTTTCTTATTGTGTGGCAGGCATTTGTTTTAGTGTCCGCTCACACCACTACTTATGTGTTTAAGTAAATAAAAAGATAGAGAAATGTTGAGCAGTGTTACAAAGTAAACTTGGAATGCGCTAACACTCATAAGCCAAATAACACTTAGTGAATTGGTAGACTACACCAACAATTACTAGGTGTTGACTTAGTGGTTACAATATTTGAGTTATGACCAACTAATGGCAGGTCCAAATCCAGCTAACTTCGGTCTGAACACCTGAGTAGGATCACTCGTTCTCACATCTAAAGTTTAGTCAAAGTAAGAATACATAAATTGGCATCTGGTAAATGAAGCATATTACAATTTCACGACTAAGCGATTTTAATTAGATGGTTAGCCAAGTCATTGATTCATCTCTAAATGAACATTACATGTGGCAAACGGAAATTCAGACCGGTTAGTGGTAACTAAAAGGCCACATATGTGATTTAAATCCTGTCGAAAATGTTAACTATAATCAGAACTCAAATATTATATATTTTTCAGTGATTTTCATTCATTGATTAAAATAATGAATGAATCCGTTAAGATTAGCTGTTGCTAACACTCACCCTTCAAGAAGACATGAAAGACGTCCCAACAGTGTAGAATAACAATAATTATAGGCGATTATAACAGATGGATATAATGATTGAAAGTCAAGAACAGCCACAGGACCATCAATGAAAAAGACACTTTCTGGTTCTAAGTTCAATGGAATCCCTTCTGGAGCAAGTTGATGAGCACGTTGTGTAACACTTGGACTAGGTAAAATAAAATTTGATTGTCTTGCAATTCGACAGAGTAGAGATTCAACTCGATACTGAAAGATAGAATCAATATGAGAGAAATTTTATGGCGTATCAGTTTTGAATTACATTACAATACAAAAATATTACTCATCTGATTATCGTTTATTAAGTGAAAATCCAAATATCAATAACTGATTCATGTAACGTGCTGTAGGTTACAGAAAATAACAATAGTGTCCGGTGTTACGCAGTTACCCACCAAAGATAATGGAAGATGGCCGCGCAATATCGTGGACTGATTGGGATTAGACATAAACACCGTTAAACCCAAGGCCCGTGATTTGGAGGTCAAGCGTTCACGAAATACCGGAAGTCCTGGGGTTTGAGTTCCACGTGTGGGACTGTGCATGTACACTGATGAAGAGTCCCATACTAGAACGAAACGGCCGTCTAGTACTTCCAGGTTTTCGATGATGATCTAACATTGATCAGTTCATGATCTCAATTAAAACTCAACAATCTTCACAACTCTATACTGATAACAACAAAAATGTCCAAACTATGTAATGAGTAGTATATTACAGAAGCACTTTCATAAATTGTAAAGTACATTTAGATGGACAGGTTAGTTCAACGATGATTTACCCAGTTCAAAGTGTGAGATATTAAAACTAAGCAATAACGAAAAACAAACAAACATAGAATCTTTACGTTACTATTCGAATGAAGTATACAGAATGCATAGAAAAAAACCTAAATCATCTGATTATGTAACCTATTAATTTAGAGAATCTTATTACATACTATCGTCTTGAAGTTGTATGAAGTGCTTAAATAGGATACACACAGGCACCACATGTTTCATTTACATCTAAAATTTCCCACATGTTGATTAGTGATTGGACTTATTGGGGACGTTAGATCCCCAGAACTCACTTGGAAAAGATTTTAATTTTGTAATTTTATTTTAAAAATTTGGATTTCTTGTTTTCCCGCTAAAAGCTCCCTTTTCACCTTCACGTTGTATTTCCCATTTGGGAGAATCTATTGGTCCGTTGTATCTTTTAACGTGTTATTTTGTAACGCTTCCCAAGGGCGGTTTTGTGCTGTATATATACGTTTTGAATTTTGTCTATTGTTATCGCTCGTGCTTATGGCATTTTGTGGAATATACTTCTCCACTCGGACTTCAACTTCTTTCTCTAGTTAGCAGGGCTGGGATGCATCAGAATAACTAGTTTATTGGTCTTTGGTCACAAGTCTTTGTTCCATTCACAGACTAAATGAACACGTAATCGTTTCAAACATAGCAGGTCTCAACTCTTTTCTTACGAATTTTCATTATTCCGTTTATTGTCTTCTTGTAGGTCATATTTGAAAGTGTAGTATAATTAACTAATGCTCAATGTCTAAACAGCTAGGTTGTGGGTACGAATTCATATCGCGCCAGGCGGACATTCGGATGCAATTTTCTTAATACATGTTTTAAATATTTCAAATACTTTAATTGTCGTATTGAACCGTGTTTACCTTTTCTGATTAAGCTCTAAGAACATCTCACGTTCTCAATAGAATTTAAACAGTAACATTATTAGTACTGTGGTGTGTGCTATTGATGTCAATAGATATAAGTAGTATATATGAATAATTGAAAGGGAAACACCAGGCGGCTGCAGGTTATGAAGATCTAAGAAAAGAGAATGATTGGTGTGGAAACGAAGGAACAATCAAGTTTGAGACGACTGACTGATATTTTGCAAATGAATTATTTATTGTCTAGATCTCAGATTTTATCAAGATATTCTGTAATGCTGAATTATAATATATTTAGTTGTCTCCCACTTGTGTTCTCGTACATTACAGTACATTGTAAAAGACACAATTTCTCGGCATACAACAAATGATAAAATTCAAGACAGATGACTTTAATCATTCATACTCTTATTGTAATTTTATGGTGTGTGTTGGGGTATTCAGAAAATACCCCAGAAATTATCTAGTGCTATTCCTGAATGAGAAATAGCGTCATTGCCCCATTGGTCAACATTCTTCCAACGTGTTATTTCCCTATTGGTCAATATTTATTTGTGTCATTTCCTGAAGGTTAAATCTTGTACAAATGTTACTTTCTATTTTATGGTACGATGTAGTCTGTTTGATTGCTATATAAACAGAGTATGTTGGAAATATAATGATTCATATCACCGAGGCTGAGACTTGTGTCCTGGACTCGATTGGCTGGGCTAGACAGGGAAGCAGGACCAATCAGAGCTCTAGGCTGCTCGCTCGTATTTTATGCGTCACTGTTTCGATCGATAATAGGCTGCTCTCCAATAGGCGGATCACACGTTATAACAGTCTGTAATTGAGCACATTGAGTTACACATATCATAAGGAAATTAATTATTTATTCAACAAACCTGAGAACCACGAGATAGAACATGATAGAATTCAATACCAAATATACGAGCAAATTCACTTGTTCGACCGATTAAATCTAAAGTATTCAATAATCTCAGATTTACAATAGAACGACGTATCCAATAGTCGATTGTGCGCCAACTACTCGAGAAAGAGAGAGTAAAAAAGCATCAAAAATACTACTGGATCATGACTAATCATCAGAAATGGTGAGCTGATGACTTATGAAACAGTTCATCAGTAAAATGAAACAATTAATACATTTCAACTGGTCATGACTTTAGCCAGTATACAGATGTAAATCGTTATTAAGTTTCAGTTCCCAATTCGTAGCTATATATTCAGACAGATAGCTAATGATTTTCAATACAAATGTGAAGACAGGTCTACTGTATGGGGCGAAAACCTGGAAAACCACGAAAGTCATCATCCAGAAGATACAGGTGTTTATTAACAGTTGTCTACGCAAAATACTTCGAATCCGTTGGCCTGACACTATCAGCAACAACCTACTATGGGAGAAAACAAACCAGATCCCATCGGACGATGAAATTAGGAAGAAGCGCTGGAAGTGGATAGGAAACACATTGAGGAAAGCACTGAACTGCGTCACAAGACAAGTCCTCACATGGAATCCTCAAGGCCGAAGGAAAGGAGGAAGACCAAAGAACACATTATCTCGAGAAATGGAGACAGACATGAGAAAAATGAACAAGAATTGGATGGAACTAGAAAAGAAGGCCCAGGACAGAGTGGGTTGGAGAATGCTGGTTGGTGGCATGTGTTCCATTGGGAGTAACAGGCGTAAGTAAGTAAGTAATTAAGGATCAAAAGATATATGGTATAGAGAAGGCAGTAAGAAGTATATTGTGATCAGGTTACCACAACCAAATATATTTCATTTAAAAACGGACGAGCTCTTCTACTTCATCTTAGAGTCAAACTTTTCGTAAATAATAATATCTATGAGTGCATCTGAAAGAGCTTATTAAACGTAACGAAGCTACGGAACTGAACGTCTTGAAGCCGAATTTCTAGGTCCTGCATTATTATTCTTACTCTTGCTAAACACAGTTTTCCAGTTCTCGATAGGAACCGCACGCAAATGACAAAATATGATAAGTCATCAAGACAAAAAGGTGACAAAGAAAAATAGTATACGACATCTTAGATTCGAGAAGGTTAGACTTCACAAAAAGAAATCCTCGTGCTACATCATTGTACAGTTAACCTTTAATGAACAAACTAACATCGCAACAGTGTGAAACAAGAAATAGATTATCGAACGCCTTATTGATAATCGTTATTCTACGTTTGCTTCTATCTACTACTTTACGGATAGTAAAATTATGAAAATGGATTATCACAGCTATATATTTACATACGAATTGTTACGTGAAATTTACCATAGATAAACCAATTAGACATACCGATTAGCTCCATTCACATTGATATACCATTCATTCAACTGTGCAAATGTATAACGAGGCATAAATTCCTTCAACAAATGATACACTACAGTCTCTACACTGTACTCAAATAAGCTGACCTACAACATAAAACGGTGAAATTAAGAAAAAAAGAAATAAAAAAGGCATGATACATGATGGATTCACTGAAGTGTTGGTGTGAAAATCTTCGAGTTAGTAAAGAGTGACGATACATTCATGTCGCTAACTGTTGTTCTGTATTGCGAACCGTCTGTGTTTAAAAATAGTGGATCACTGAACGTCGCACTGCATGAAGTTATAAACACTGCAAAATCTTATGCTTTTCGGTTTGATTATTTATTTAAATATTAATGTTTAAGGTTGATAAGTTCCGGATAAAAAAATAGTTTTTTAGTATAATGTAGCTTTCGATAGTTCTACAAAGCATGTCCCAAATAAGTTGGTACGGCAGGGAGTTGGGAGAGTTTACTCTCCCTCTCAAAATGTTCCCATACGGCTACGTTTATATAGACACTAGCAGGGAATTCTTACTTACTGACTTTTCGTGCGCGAGGGTGTTATTTACGCAATTTCAAGGAAGAAAAGAGAACGTTCAGAGCTTAAATCGGATTAGTGGGTATGGAGGAGATTAAGAAAACCCTGATTCCAAACCAATAGTGAACATGGGCTCCAGAATCCTAAGGAAAAAAATAGTGCATGAGTCTATATTCATGTTCATCGGCTAGCATGGGACTGCAGCACCTCCTAACGTTGCTTCACTGTTTTGCGGATTAGGACTTTGGGTCAACGACTCGAGGATTGGCTCCTTAAGCAAATCGCCTGCTTCAGTTTCGACAACCAGGCAGTATTCCAGCTCTCACACAAATCGAATGATGAAGTGTGACGCATATATATTTGGTGCCTCCTTGTACCAATGTTTATGTTTTTAAATAAAAATGAAAACATAAATTCTATCATAAGTCCTTTCTTGTTGACAATTTAATTGACAAAATACACTCAGATACATAAAGTAACAGAGACAAAGAAGAAAGATATCACTAAATCTTACTTCATGCATTAAAATCCTCCAAAAACATAGAACAACACGACCGGGACAAGCGAATGGACCTCCAGTACGGCCAGCAGCAGAATCGCATGGCCATATGCGACGATAATTAATATTAGCGGTATTAGCATGATCCGACTGCTTGTTTGTTGTTGTTGAGGAATACAACGGACTGCATGGACAATTACATAGGTCATTTAGATCTTTAACAAATTCTTCAGTATTAAAGTGCCAAGGACTATTTCTTTCAGTGAAAATACAACTATTAATACCACTGTTTGTAGGAGTGGTAGACAATGACGATGTTGGTGGTGGTGTTTGAACCATTTTAATGCATTTAGCAATACATTGACGACAATGAGGGCAGTTTATAATGTCTGAAAGAAATTTAAACACATATACAACGGTAAAACTTAAAAATGATAATTAGTGACAGAATATTGTTGTTCAAATTGCGTTTTCAGAGCTGGGTAGTTATAATTATGAAACTGTCATCATTATCTTCCTAGATTAGCTGAGCAACACAAACTAAATCAGTTATTACTTACTTACTTAATTACGTACTTACGCCTGTTACTCCCAATGGAACGTAGGCCACCGACCAGCATTCTCCAACCCACTCTGTCCTGGGCCTTCTTTTCTAGTTCCATCCAATTCTTGTTCATTTTTCTCATGTCTGTCTCCATTTCTCGAGATAATGTGTTCTTTGGTCTTCCTCCTTTCCTTCGGCCTTGAGGATTCCATGTGAGGACTTGTCTTGTGACGCAGTTCAGTGCTTTCCTCAATGTGTTTCCTATCCACTTCCACATTTTATTGAAAATTCTGACCTTGGTGTTGGTTGCCAACTGGTATACTTCAACTTATTTTGAATAATTTCGCCCAAGGGCTTTAACTACAAATTACTATTGTCGTGTAGAATTCAACCTAGTACCTCACATCTACTGACACGACTCAGATTGACAGGCGCCCCCAAATGCCCTGGTACGACCGAGAGTGGGGAGAGTCCGCTCTCCCTCTCGAAATGCTCTCACATGGCCACGCGTATATAGCCTCTGCCAGGGAAGTCCTACTCACTGCCTTCTCACACCACGGGTGTTGTTTAAGAAAATGAGAGGACAAAAAGCGCTTTAACCGGATCCCAAACCAATGGTGCACATGGGCTCCAGTATCCTGCGGGAACAAATGGCATATGAACCAATCGTTGGTCACCGGCTACCATGGGACTGCATCTCCTCACGATGCTCCACTGCCTTGTGGGTCAGACGTTCAGGTCAAAGGCTCGGGGTGTGGCCCCCTAAGAAAACCACCTGCTTCGGTTTGGGCACCCGGGCAATATCACAGCCCTCACACAAATCAATTGAGATTTGTGTGGCGCATATGTATTTGGTGCCTCCTTGTACCAATACCTATGTGTTAAAATAAAAAAAATAATAATAAATTTTCCAAGTAGTTCGGTCAACGGTCGTTAAGTATGTGTAACACATTTCTTGATCACATCAATTGATGAAGGTCTATAACCTCATAAAAAACGTGTCCTTTTTACATTGAGTTCTAAAACTAACAGTATAGTTACTCGATCGTCTTATAATGCACGATTAATGACTGAAGATTTCTGTGTCCAATTACTGGTAGTACTACAAATATCCAGTACTTTTAAAGATCATATTTCACAATCTTCACAGAATGGTCTGTTGCGCAAACAGTAAATTCACTCTCTAATAAAGAGATGGATATTCCGTCTATTTTATATACGATGTAATTTGTCAAAGCCAAGAAACCTTTTTAAGATCTATGATGAGATTTAGTCAGTTATCAACCCGTTAGGGCTAATGAAGTGGTTAACGAGCTCAATTATAACACTCCATACGGTCAAACGAGAAGTCAACACAGACTATTCAGCCCTAAAGCAACATTCTGCATATAAGGAAGAGAAATGCATACTAGATGTTGTTACAAGGTTACTCAAAGGGTTCAGAAGACTAGACACTTAATAAGTATCTTCACTAAAAAGAACTATCTCATTTTTATAGTCCAAGTAAATAAATAAGTTTCCAGATAGGAGATCAACACTTAGAAAGTATTATTTCTAGGAGCACATCTGTGACGAAATTAAATAGTGAGGAAATTGTACATCCCTAATGAATACCATATAATGCTGCCATTTAACTTTGTTGACAAAATTACCAAATGATCTGATGCAACTAACAGTTTTCGAGTAAAAAGCTTTTGCAAGTCACAAAATAATCAGATAGTGATAATATGGAATGTTTTCCAATAACACTATTATTGTAGGTTCTAAATACCCATAATACACTCCTTTTGAAATGATGTCATATAGAATTATAATAAAATAATTATACTCTCACTTATTTACACTAACCTGATGCTAAACGCGATAATTCTCTAGTAAAAGTACGTCGTCCAAGGTGATTAGCACGTTCAACAAGATAACCCCATGAAAAACGTTCAATGTCATAACCAATCAATATTTCTGGGTCAAATCTAGATAGAAATTAAAGTTTTATTGCAAAAAATCAATTGAATAATAAAAATTTACCAATTAGAAAGAATTATTGATATTTCACTAGTTGAAGTTATGAGTCAATTGAAGCTAGACTACCATGGAAAACCTGGAAGCATTGGACGGTCATTTCGTCCTAGTATGGGACTCCCCAGCAGTGCACATCCACTAGTGAAAGTTCTAAAATCTCCACAAAACCCCTTTTGATAATTATTGATATGTATTATATTTGTAACACAGTTTACAGCAACAAATTAATATGAGTTGGATAACCATTAAAAAACAGAAATTACTGAGTAATTGTTTTGTCCTGTTATGGGATTATTCAGAGGTGCATATCCATGATCCCTATGGGGATCGAAACCAAGGTCCTTAAGTTTCACACAGAATGATTAACCTCTAAGTAGTAATCGATATGTCGGTCTAATTTTACTTCCTTCAGTACGGGGATTTTTAATAGTATATGACATTGTTGATATCATTACTGTTCAACATTTTTTAGATGATACTTATAAGGATTGATCGTCTAATATGATACGATCCATTATATTTATGAATGATTTTGGGATCCCTTCAAAAATCTGATAGATATTAGTTTGGTTTTAGATAACATAAGTTTATCTTTAACAAAAGATCTGCTTTGATGTTTAGTTCAGTTATAACACAGTGAATTTATTAAGTTTATCAGGTATATGTTTATTTACTTAAAACAGTGCCCACTTATGCATGATAACGAAAAGATCCATGTCGAGATAATCCTGATATAGTCTGGAAATGAAATAAACCAGATGACAAACTTGTGAACATTTATCAATTAAGATGGCAGTAACATGTGGACTGTATGGGCATAGTCACTGTCCATTTCTAACATTCATTATGTTCAGTATTGGTTGTAGATTAACAGAACCCAAACACTATCTTATTCTTTTATAAAGATAATGATTATAACTCTAAATCAGCCAACAGTTTAAAAGTAAATCAACTGGATATAGTTTTTGAAATTCTAATATTTAAGAAGTAGATCACCTAAGTACCGTAAATTTTTGAGATCACGAGTGAACTGAAGCAGTCCAGTGTTTCCAGGTTTTCCATAATAGTCTAGCTTGAACTATTGAAATTACTATAATATACACAAAACCTTTCTGATACCAAACAGCATATGCTTCAAGAGGTATTTCTTGGAGTTCTAATGAGAAGCAGTGATCAGTGGAGTTCAACAAGGTCTGTTGTAACTCAATTTTGTGGATAAGTTGGAGTTACACATTAACACCGTTGGATGCCGTTCAGATTAGTGGTCTAGAAGTTAAGCATGCGTGTGCGAAACCGTTAGGACATGGGTTCGAATCACGCGAGGCAGGATGGTAGATGCGCGTTGCTGAGGAGTCCCACAATAGGACGAAACGGTTGTCCAGTTTGCTTGCTTTAAGAAATCATACTGATATAAGCTAATTACAAAGATAGAAATAAGTAGTAAGTAGCAGGAATCGAAAGTAGAATGTTTACCATCAGACGAGTGAAAGAAAGAGAAGAAGAAGAGGAAAAACAAAAAGCAATCAAAATAACAACAGGATCCGAAGAATGATAAATTATATAAAGGATAACTAAAGAAAGATATGCAAATGATGAATCCAATGTAAAAATTTCCATATTTGTATAAAACAATAGATTGGTTTCACCTTATCTAAGTTTTTGTTCACCACAATACAACTACATTTGATACTTATATTAGTACTAAAAACAAATTATTTCATAAATATCAGATGAAACAACTAGAAAAGACAATGAATTCATATAATCCCAAATAAAAAGCCCATTTAAGTTACTGTGATAATTCTCTCTGATAACAATCCAGCTATTCCTATTGTTTAGTATTCTTGAACACCAATTCACTAGACAAATCCCCAAATCAGAACACGGTTAAACAAGAACGAAGTTTTAGGTCAGACTATAATTTTCGAACGACCTTTGAGCGACGTTAAAGTGATCTTGAGAATGTTCACCTAATAACTAGGACCAAATGAGGATTATAAAGCAGTTTGAATAATAAGGATTGTGATTTACAGTCGATGGACAGGGTTAAGAATTTGGTTTAGAGTTTTCATCAGCTAAAATATCAAGACGTTATTTAGCCAGATGAATAAAGAATTTCGCGCTGAAATCCAAGATCTGTTATCTTATACCTAATTGGTTCATCCATAAATTATAATCTCGCCAAATTATATTTCAAATAACAAGGGTAGATCGAAGTAACAAGCACAAAAAGAGAAACGTTAGTGTATTTATAGTTTTTTACATGAGTTTTCTCCAAATATTGACAAGCGCTGATTGGATAAGAATTAGCCAATCAGCGTACGCCAACACAGTCGTGCGCCCACAATAGGACGAAACGGCCGTCCAGTGCTTCCAGGTTTTCCATAGTGGTCTAGCTTCAACTGACTCATGATCTCAACCATTGAAATTACTATAATATTCACAAAACCTCTTTTGATATATATACTTACGTTTGAATTAAATAAACAATCCAAGATATAAGATTCCATTCAGTTGAACACCAAATTATACAAGGAATTACATGTTGTAATTTATGTTTATTATTTCTATAACCATAATTTGTTAATCCATGACAATATTTATTAAATAATCCAATATTTGTATTAGATAATTCATTAGAATGAATTAAAACAAATAAATTAGTTAGATGAGGATTATCAGTAGATTCTATTATAGATGATGGTTGTGGATATAGAAAACTAAGACAAGCAACTTGAATAGGATCAAAGGCTGGATCTGGTATTAGACCACATTTTATTAATGATTTTTTGGTTATTTTCGATTCTATTAATATATTGACATTTTTCTGATTAGATACAGTTTGTGATTTTGTTAGACGACTAGAACAATGTAATTCTAAGCTGGCTACAGTTGTATGATCAACCTGAAATTTTAATAAAAAAACATACAAAAAAAAGTTGTAGAGTGGTAAAAAGATGTATGGTAATGAAAACTGATCAGGGATAATATAGTAACATCAAATATCCGTGTTTGTGGACACAGAGAGTCCACCTAGGGTAGTTGGAAAACCCTGATTTAAAAACAATGGTGTACATGGGCTCCAGGATATTGAGGGAACAAATGGCGTATGAACCAATCGTTAGTCACCGGCTAACATTGGACTGAATCTCCTTACGTTGCTCTACTGAATTGTGGATTAGATCTTTAGGTCGAAGGCTCCGAGTATGGCCTCTTAAGAAAATCATCTGCTTTGGTTTGGAAACACGGGCAGTGTCCTCAAATCCATGATCCTGAGTAGTAGTATATTTAGGGTTTTCGACATATCCTGCTAGTAGTATTATGTAACCATGAGTAATAAATTTTTAAGTGTAATATTTTTCATCTACCCCACCACCACCAACTTGATCTGTCCCCTTTAATTATCTGTAACTTTTTCGTGCCAGTCAAGAACAGTTTTAAGGTAGTCAATAAAATGTTATCTTTCTGAAAGATGAAACAACAACTTACAGGATTTTGAACAAACATTCTCTGAAGGTTATCTTTCCATTATTATAAAATTCTTAACATGTTAATCAATGTCATCGTACAAAATAGGAAATCATTTCAAAAACTCGGTCAGTCATATTCAACATAGAGAGAGAGAGTAAAGTACAAGTGTGCCTTTACTGACATCGTTGTTGTATCCTAACAAAGAATAAATGAATCATAACCGTTAGGAATTATTTATGGACTAATATTATACATGTATCCACATTATATAACTATTAGGTACCTAGATAATCTAAATTTATATTTCTCTTATTACAAGCTTTTAATTGACCTGGTGACTACTGTTATACGATTATTATACTATTACCAAGTTACTCCCAATCTATTAGTTACAGTCTTTCACTCACATTTACGGCCACTTTTTGACCTGATCTTGTATAATCATTATTTCCAACTTTATGGTGTGATGCTGTCTGGTCTGCTAAGTATGTCTGAAATACATAATTCATACAGTGGAAGCTAAGATTTGTGTTCTTCACTCACCGACAGGGACAAGCGAGAAGAACTAATAAGGACTCAAAGTTGACCCTAGACTGCTTTTGCTGATTAACGTGTCACTGATTTAGCACAATGCCAAGGTTGTATCGGTCACTTTTCAGATTGGCGATCTTATCATGTGATTAAGTCATAACTCCCCATTGGTGTTCTTGATCACTACATTTGGTGTCCCTGCCAACCAGGAGAGGGGAAGGGTGTTGTTCCGTGGACGCTGTTGCAGGCCTGGAGCTGAGGTGCAGGTTGGGGAAGTCTGGTGCGGAGAGGTGGCGTCTGGTGGGGTGTTCTGGCGGGGCGGCGTTGGTTGTAGCGGGTGCTATCGACGGAGAGGGGAGGTGGGACGTGCGGCTGCTGGGCGGACATCGGATGTAGATGGCTCATCAGGCCGGTGGAGCACGGGTGTAAACGTCCCAGGTGCCGGGTGGAGGTCGGATGTTGGTCCCCCGGCAGGTCGACGGGGCTACGGAGGTCAGCGCGCCGCAGACTCGACACTTTGACGGAGGGCGTAGCACGGACCGCAGAAAAGAAGAATGTTGCGCGGCGAGCAGGAACCACTGCTTTAAAGGGGGGACAGATGTGGTGTGTGCTACTTATGTAGACATAAGTAGTATATGACGTGAGTTATGAACAGAATGTCTCGCAGCAGAGAGACGAGAAGATCGAACAACAAAGAATGAAGGAAGAATGCAATTTGTATGAAAATGCAAGAACAAAAGAATTCTGAGTCATTTGAGACAATTGATGAATATTTTGCAAATTGAGTATTTAATACATGGTTGTTAGATTTGACTAACTAGTTCTGTAATTTGTTGTCAAAGACATTCGGTTGTCCTCACTTGTGTTCTGTTCACTCATAACTCACATATCTCACGTCAGAACGACGATGAGATGATGCTAGTATCAAGAAGAATGGAAAATCATTGTATTAGTGATAACAATAATAAAAATTAGTATGGTTTAAAAAGACAGAAGGAAAAGGTATTTACAAAGGAATACTGGAACATAACAATAAATCAAAGTGTCTTATATAATAAAACATTGACGAATTCAACGACATTATTCTCTAATTAGAAAAAAAACTAACACAATACTACAAAAGAAACTATACTTCCCCATCTGCTTCCCCCCCCTCACTTGTTCGTCTGCACGATTTTTTTTCCCAACAACAGTACAAAAGTTATATATGTTGCTTTAAGCCTACTTTGGTAATGTTAATTTATTATGCAAAGGTGAGGGTTTCACATTATTTTCTTTGGTGTCTCTGTTTCCCCCATCATCTTCTTCTATATGTCCAGTTGACGTTAGAAGATACAGTTTCATGGAAACCGGTGACCAACGATTGGTTCATACACCATTTGTTCCTTTAGGATCCTGGAGCCCATGTGCACCACTGGTTTGGAATCAGGGTTTTTCGACTCCCCTAGATAGATTCTAAATGTCCACCAACACGGTTAAAGTGACGGAAATTCGCTTTTTGTCCTCTCAATTTCGTAAACGACACCCTTGCATCGAGAAGGCAATGAGTAGGAGTTCCTTGTTAATGGCTCTATACGCGTGACCGTGCAAGAGTATTTCAAGAGAGAGTGGACTCTCCTCACCCTCGGTTGTATCAGGGAATATTAAAAAAAGCAGCAAATAACATCAACGGTAAACAATCACTGTATCAAAATTAATACATACAAAAATGTATACTATCTATCATGATTGCATACCTGAACCGATGAGAAACAACGTTGATTAGCACCTTGATATAAAACACTAACAGAATTGCCAGATGAATGTTGTGTTGTATCAATAGATTGTTCATTATTCGATGAATATAAAAGTGTTTGATAATCATCATTGGTACTTTGTTCATTAATAGTTGATGATATTAGATTAACAGTTGTACACTGTAAAATATTATATAAGAGGACCATTTTATAAGTAATGTATTATATAAATATATTTTAATTCTAAACTGAAGTCAGTACAAGATAACAAGTAATAATGATAAGAGAATAACGTCGGGAAGTGGAAGCAGATATTGCCCGGGACAGAGTTCGATGGAGAATCCTGGTGGGCGGCCTATGCTCTTCCACGAGGGGTAACAGTAAAAGAAAATGAATGGAACCCATTAGTTGGACGTAAATTGATTACGATCATCAATGTAGCAAATTTGTTGAAAAAACTGTACAAATCTAAACAGGATCAAGTAGAACCAAAGTTCCATGATGATAAGATTATTTGGTCGGCCTAAAGTCATCGTTCAAATGATCACCACCTTAACTTTTTTGACATATAAATACGAATGAATTGCAACGAACACTATTCCGTAAATAGAGATTCCGACACAGCTTGTCCCTAACATCTGGCTTATTAGATAATTCATATCTAATGGTGAGAATCTAATCACTAAAACCATTGGATTGCCGTTCAGTGAATACACAATTCCAACTTCAAACAATCCATGACAGTGTGACAATTATCTAACACCAATGATAACGACTGACATGACTGAACTCCCATGGTTATAGCATACACAGTCGTGGGTGCGCATAATTAGAGAGCAATATACCAAGTAGAAACAGCTGTTGAAGGTTCTCTAGTCCTCAATGGTGTCCCGATTTGAATTAACATATGATGAATAACATCTACAGAATAAAAGAATCTCCACAAAACTATTCAATTTAGAAAATAAAGTCCAAAAACAGACAGATGGTAGGTCATTGAACTGAATATCAATATTTTGTACTGTAAGCTCCTTTTTGACCTTTCAATGTACTGCAGAGTTGAATCGCCTAGTTTATTCATTACACTACAAATTGGATACAAGTGATTCTGTTACTGAAGGTTAAAGAGTATGCGATGACTTACTAATAAGTAGAAACCAACTAGCAACATGAGCTACTTAACGACATCATATTTGACTGTGAGATTGAGTTCCAAGTGTCTACAGGATCTACAAAAACTTTCGTCTAAATTTGATTGAATAATTTCACAGTATTTGGGCACCCAGTTGGTGTGAAACATTAAGAAGGAAGAATGTATTAGTTAAAATCTCAGTGAATGAATATAAAGTAAATCCAACGTTTCTCTTAGCAAGCTTGTCCAAGCTTTTTCAATCATTTACCGGATCTTTTATATAATATTCACGCTTGTGTCAAACAAGGGATTTTAAATGACCATCTGACAATTTTAATGTATTAAAAATGCATCAAGAACATGAAGACATTTAAAAAGTATTTAGACTTCGACATACCTGTGGAAATAAGTCATTCGAAAGGTTGATCGCTTTATTATTTTCCGACTGTGAATCTGTACAAACGGCATCTTTCTTCATAACATCTGACTTTTTAAAATCCTGTGATGTTTTTGATTGTTTAAGCCACTTAGTTACAACCTCTAATCTAGGAGCTGGATATACTGGACGCCAAAATGGAGTACAAGGAAGTGAAGATGATGGTGTCATTATTGATTGAATTGTAGATCGATTATCCATATCACTAAATGGCGACAATTGTGTTTGTGAACAAAGACTTAGTTTATCTGTATATAAACTGGAAGTATATGGTGAACATGGGGTATCTGGAAAATCATGATGAAATGAAGAAAATAGAGGTAGTTGTTCAGACAAAACAATTGATGAATAATTCATTTTTGGTGTTTGTGTTTCTGAATTAGCTATCATAGTATTTTCAAGATCTGAAAATTCTTCAGGGGGTGTTAAACGTCCTGATTGTTGAAAAGATGTTTCAGTTACCTCAAAATGTGACGGTAAACGTTCAAGAAGGACAACAGGATTTGATAGATTATTACTATTAGACTATGGAAAAGAAATTAAAATGTTTTCGTTGAGATGCAATTTTAACAGCAAAATATTTTCATTAATAGAAAGAAAGATATTTAATTAAATCGGTTGATCCATTACATATCCATAGTTGTAATTTTAAAGCCAATTAGCTTTCCTTACAGAAATACTGCATTTCAAGGCAAATACATTTATTATGTGGACGTGTTTTCATGAGGAAAATGTCAAAAAAAACCTGTATTTGAGGACCTGGGAGTCACACCTGAAATAGGTATACCACCTTACATGAGCACCGGTAACATGCGCTTTCATGCATACATCCCGTGGCATACACATAGGAATACTTATCCCTACACACATAGTTGCTACTTTCACAACTGCTACTTCTGTTTTATCTGAATAGAATTGGTACGCAAACTTTCATCTACGAATTTCATGATACACACATAGGCATAACACCCTAAAAAAGGGTTGATATTCATCGCTCTTTTTTTGGTATTTGATTAGGTCACAGGTTAAACTGTGTAGTTAGAGACAGTACAGGCAAGTCCGTCACATATCCTTTGCATAGACCTACATACATAATTACACAAACTGGGACTCACACAGTTCGTATACATATGGATACACAGAGGAGAGTCCTTTACGATTTTAGTGGTCAAAGGTTTCGGTCTTCGAGTAATCCAGGTGACAGTAGAAAGATTTGATCTTAGCATCCCTTTATAAATTTTTCTCATTTTCCCTGACATTTTATGACTTAGTGTATCCCTTAAGAGTAAATAAACAGGTAATGAAATAAATAAATGGTCAGGTTATTTATTAAGTTGATCAGAAGAAGTAACTTACACTAAGTCATGAAATATCAAAAATTCTAGCTTCTACTAACAGCGATATTAAGGAAGTATCATCATATTATTAACAATATCCTACCCAATGTTCAATCGGTTTGAAATTATCAAGTTTAATCTTTATAATCATACTTATTAACGCTTCTGTTAATTTCGTTCTACGCTTTCAAGGAAACGATTAAGTGATGTATAAAATCCTAAAATCAAAAAAGTAAATTTCTCCAAAATACGATACTACTTATGACAAAACAAGCGGCATGTTTATAAACCTTAATTAGTGCAATATCCAAGGCGCTTCCTGCTTCGGTCTGGGCACCCAGGTATTATCATAGCGCACACATAAATCAAGTGAGTTGTGTGGCGCATATTCATTCAGTGCCCCTTTTTACCAATATTTATGTGTTCAAATAAATAACCATATAAACTAAGGTGCTTACTGATTCAGTGTACAATCAGAGAAAAGGTTATCCCTGCAATAGTCGTGTGAAAATTGTTAACAAAAACATATGATAAAGTCGGTAATGGACAGTTGTTATATCAGTACCACAAAAGCAATCAACAATCAAAATGCAAACCAATTACATAGACAATGGGAACTGTTACAAATTTAAAGTAACTGCTAAACGTATTAAGAAGCGATAATTACAATAATAAATGGATTCAACGTCATAAATTCGTTTGAATACTTATAGAGTAACCAAATACTGATTTCCCGAAAACGACTGAAAGTGAAATTAGTTACTAAATATTATTATCAGAAGGGGTTTTATGGAGATTGTAGTAATTTCAATAGTTAAGATCATGAGACAATTGAAGTTAAACAACCATGAAAAACCTGGAAGCACTGGACGGCCGTTTTGTCCTATTGCCGGACTCCTCAGCAGTGCGCATTCGTCATCTCGCATTGAGAGATTCAAACCCAGGACCTACCAATTTCGCGCGCGAGCGCTTAACCTACAGACCATTGAGCCGGTGTTAATATCTAACTTCAACCAAGCCACGAAATTGAGCGACACATCAATCATTGTCTTAAATGAGTTACTATCTCACAACTATCCCGGTTAAACTAAAAGGTCCTGGTTTCGAATCCAGCGAGGCGGGGTCATGGTTGCGCACTGCTGAGGAGTCCCACAATAGGACGAAACTGTTGTCCAGTGCTTCTAGGTTTTTAAAAGGTGATCTAGCTTCAATTGACTCCTCATCTTAACTATTGAAATATTATTAAGTAATATAATTTAGTACACAAAAAAATGATCGAACAAGATAAATGAAATGATAAGATATACGTAGGGGAAACTTTTATTGATGATAAAACAACTTACTACTGAATAGTTTATTCCAGTAGAAGAATGACAAGTTGTTGAGTTGTTAAGATCAGTTAGTAAGTTTTCTTCAAAAATAAATTGATTTTTATTTACAATTGAAGTTGATTTGTTCAATGAAACACTAGAAACACTAGTATCACTATCATTCAATTGAAGGCTAGATGAACTAAATGACGATATAATTGATGTTGTTGTACAAGTACTTTGTGTATTTGTAATTTGAGTAGTTGGAATGTGTTTTCTTGGTAAACGTAAACTAAGACGTCGACGTTTTCTAGGACGATTTCTTTCACCGATAGCTTTGAGTACTGTCATAGTTTAATGGAAAGAAAATGTTAAGTGTGTCAATAGGAAAACACATCATCGAATTACTAAGCTCATTAATAAAAATCGAAAATGTTTTTTATCGTAAGACACTTTTCAACAAGTAAATACCATTTTAGAAAGAAAATATGGAAACAAACAATCACAAGGAGAGTTGCAAGTGCTGACTAAAAGTTGTGGTTTTTCAACAAACCAAAAAAAAAATGTGACGAAAAATGTTGAGTATTCTCAGCGTGAACAATTTTGATTATCAGCAAATTATTCATCCTAGTCTTCTATAATTTTTGTCAGTGTTGTGTCTTGTTATTGAGGTTTAGTATGATCTAAAATGTTATAGATTCAGAAACGGAAACGAATGGACTGTTCTAATATAATCGTTTCTCTTCGGACGGTTTTAGCCTTTCTAATAAAATTTGACTATTCTTGCGACCGGTTGAATAGTCAGATTTAGATAATTTACATTTGTTTAGGAGTTCAGCCATTGTTGGGGTAGAAGAATATCGAACACAGAACAAAAGCAACTCAATGCTGTACTTTTTATATGTCTTTTCTCTTAACATTCTATTGTAGTCAGGTTGTGTTCATATATAATGTTAACTTTATCGAAGTGTTCAAGTATACGTTTGACATATATGTGAGACCGATATTCCAAAAACAACAATTTATTCAAAAGAACGGTTTTATTGTAGTGGACGCTACTTACAGGATTGTTTGTAAGTAGTATATAGTGGAACGTGACATCGACTTTGCAACAATTGTCAAATCGAGCGAAGAGTTTCAGCACATCGAGAACGCGGTGTCAGCAGAAGATCAAAAGAGAAAACAGTTCGGATGGCAGAACATACCAAAAGATTCAAATGGACAATTGAAGACTATGTACATGTATTATGTAAATACCTTGTAACTTCTCACAACAAATATACATTCTTCCTGCCTACTGTCTTCTACACTATTATTAAGAAATATACATAACTTGGTTACAAACATCAACTTGTGAGGCACCTGTGCACCTGTATGTGTGCAAAGACGAACGCTTCCTGTAATTATAACATAAAGGGAAATTACAACATACGACAGCATGAACGACAGTTGGTAGCAGTATCTAATGTTAACAACAATTTATCAGCAACCAAAATGGAGATTAACAGCACGCAAAGATTGAAACTGTTGTATTTAAACAAAGATCCAAGGAATATACAAAACTTTAAATAATTTTTATAAGGGTTAACAAAAAGAAACTGTAAATACTTTAGCACATTACGCAATAAATAAACGTCAGTTACACCATACGCCAAGACATTATTAGTAGTATAAACTAACATAACTCCACCTGAAGCCCCTCCGGGGCTGCTGCCAGTTCCAAGTCCATGTAAAAGGGTAAGCGACCCCTTACCGTTAAACACTAACTCACTAAAAAACGCTAGTATAAACCGACATGCAAAAAATGAGTTGAATAGGGAAAAAACAAGGATAGAAAAGCAGGACGGGCTTGAGACTACTTCCGTTGCAATGTCAATACAAAGTGAAGTTATTTTAATGTAAAAGATTGCTAACCAATTATTTACTTATCTAAGTAAGACAGGGACTAATTTCTGTCTATCATGCAAACAACATATTTTCTCGAGATAGTCAAGAGTCTACTGACAATACAGTTTTCAAATTTTTATTTATTTATTTATTTATTTAAACTTGAACACATACATATTGGTACAAGAGGGCACCAAAGATATATGCGCCACACTCATCATTTTCATCTTATATTTGCGCCCAAATGCCCTGGTACGGCCGAGAGTAGAGTGGGCCCGCCCTTCCTCTCGAAATGCTCTCACACTACCACGTCTATACAGCCTCTACCAGGGAAGTCCTACTCACTGCCTTCTCACACCACGGGTGTTGTTTACGATAATGAGAGGACGAAAAGCGAATTTTCGGTGCTTTAACTGGATCCCAAACCAATGGTATACATGGGCTCCAGTAAACTGAAGGAACAAATGGCGTATGAACCAATCGTTGGTCACCGGCTACCATGAGACCGCATCTCCTCACGATGCTCCACTGCCTTGTGGGTTAGACCTTTAGGTCAAAGGCTCGGAGTGTTGCCCCCTAAGAAAACCACCTGCTTCTGTTAGGGTACCCGGGCAGTATCACAGCCAACACACAAATAAAATAAACAATCTTCAAAACTTTCAGATTATTATTCTATGAAGTTGACTTTTAAGTAACTCTCTTGATTTCAAATAAGAATTCATGGTTCAGTACATTGTATAATGAAATGTATATGAAATTTTAAATATAGGGATTATTATTTTGCTCATAGTTTGTCTTAACTTTTACAAAGTATCAATTATACATGATTATTACAAATAGTACTGAATAACATGACTAACCAGTAGTATTCGAAGAATAAGTACTTGTACTACTACTCTGATTATCACCATCACTATTAGTGTCCACGTTTCCATCAACTTGAGGTATACAATTACTGAAATGATATTATTAAAATTAAGACGAAGGACAAATAAGTAGTATGAATATATATTAAAATATCTTATCATAATAATTATTAATATATCACAAAATCACGAGCTTAAATGGTCATAAATCTAAGTCTGTCTCATTCTATTTCTCTTAAACTAAGTCAGATGAGTTATTAATAATTAACTGATAATTAAATTAGCTTATGTTAAGACGAATTTCATTCGATGGGCGCGCAATTTCGTGGATTAGTTGAGGTTAGACAATAATGCCGTTGGATGTCGGCTCAGCGGTCCAGTAGGTTAATCGTTTGCGCGAGAGACCGAAGCCTCTGGGTTCGAATCCCACGAGCGTGGTCGTGGATGCGCACTGCTGAGAAATCCCACAATAGGACGAAATGGCCGTACAATGCTTCCAGGTTTTCAATGGTGGTCTAACATCAATCGGTTCATGATTTCAATCAAATACAATTTGAAGATTTAAGATGAAATTCGACCGGAAATATGAAAAAAACTAATAGGCTTTGTGCCATTAGTAGTAGTGTGGTGTGTGCTACTTATATCGACATAAGTAGTATATAACGCTAGTCAGGAATGTAACGTCTGGTAGCAGAAGACTGAGGAGGGAAGAACCGGAGCAGAAAGCAGTTGGTATGGAAATGCAGAAACAATGTAGTCTGAGTATGGCTTTCCTATTTTACCACGTAACTCGGTAATTTTGTGCTAAATATAATCGGTTGTCCGCACCTATGTTCTCCTTCACTACAGTAGTATTTCACTAGAGACACAAACTATCAAGTCAGATAAGAAATGATCATTTAATTAGATGTCATTTTAAAAGAAACAAAATTATATTCAGGTCTAGTGATTGTATGCGACGAGTAACAAACTGGATAAAACATTTTCGGAAACACCCCTTTGATATGTTTAGCGTATAAATTATGTACTACATACCAGTAGCTATAGTATGGTGTTTGTTCTTAAAAGATGGAGAAAACTTGTCATGTAAGCTTATTTAAAGAGCAATATTGGCGTAATGAAAGATTAGCAAACGAAAAGGTGAAGTGGTTTAAGGATTTGAGTTGTAAGGACTGACTGAACTCATGTTTATGTTGGTATTTCGATGTCCTCAGAGATGGTGGATATGACTGTGTAATCATTACGCTGAGACTTTATCGGTTATTTACCTGCGTACATGAACCAAGCTAACTGAGTAGTTAAGAAAAGGCATTGAAATAATCAATCATTTGGTTCTTTACTGCTGAAATGGATTAACAAACAATATACTGCTAGTTAGGAGTATATATCAACTCACCCTGACTTTGAAGTATCACTTTCAGAACTCCAAGAATCAAAAAGTATGTCTGAAACACTATCAACTTGAAAGTCAGGTTTCACAATCTTCCCAGCGACATCTGGTGGAGAATTTTCTGCAGACCGACATAAAGGTGAAAGAATTATAGGAGAATCAGACAATGTACACTCATCCTGTGTATGGAAAATTTGTTCATTTATATTCTTGTTTTGTAAAGGAGTTGAATTTAAATGGAACGCATCACATGATTCTTCATCATCCTCATCGATTTCATGAAGTGATTCCAAATCTTGCGTTGGGATAAACACTTCATTAGAATGATTTATAGAGTAGAATATATCATCACTATCCAAATAACTTCCAACAGGTTGAGACATGCACTCATCATCTTCGGTTATCTCATTTTTTGTAGCACAGAGACTTCCAACTGTTGGTTTATCTACCCCCGATTGTTGACTGCATACAAACGACAGAGCACATTGTGCTGCATTTAAAATTAAAGTTTTGTCATCATCCTGTCCTTTGTCTATACCAATGACATTAGACTGGTGGATGATTGAATTTCGACTAGTCAAAGTACTGTTCAAAACCTTGAAACAATGTATAATAAATAAATCAGAAATCGCTTATTTTTAATTATATACACTAATATGTTAAGCTTATGTTAATCACAATCAGATATGACAATCTTGATGAATTGTGTTAGCTATAACATAGACTTCCTGGTGATGTCATATCGTGACAGACAGTTGGAGAGAAATACAATAGAAACGATTAGATTTTGGGCACAACACCCAAGTTGTATAGTTGACTGCAAAACAATATAGTGACAATCAATAGTAATCCAGTTTTCCCCTATAAGTGACTCGCTAAGAAAAACATGTTAAGTTTAAGCTTTCGAAACATGGTTGAATGTAATAGGGTGTAAGGAAATAAATAACCGAGATACATTGTTAAAGAGTTTCAACACGTAACTTGAATTCAATACGACTAACTGATAGATGTAGCAATCAATTGGTATCCTAAAACGTTACCAGAGGAACAGAAACTCCAATATTAAACAAGGTGGATGTTACTAAAACTTCGTATGATACCATAAAGTAATTTTACCCCTTCGGTCACCTCATGACAGTCTATTTTAATAAGTGTAAATGTGATAGCAGAATGTTAAGTAACCAGGTTAAAAAATAAGAACAAACTAATGAATAAGCAAATAACTCAGTATTTCTTACATTGTTATCAAATGTTTTGTTCTTAGCCAACTCAATAGGACTACAAATCCAATCGTCATCATCATCATCATCATCACTAGTCAATAATCGAGGATGCTGAATATTTGTTGCATTCAACGAAGAATGAACTTCTGTGGGATATTCTACATTATTAAGCAACTGATCCAATTGTTCAGGTGTTGGTACCCATGCATCAAATTCTTCGATTGCATTAGCTAAACGACAAAGATCTTCTAAACCGGCTGAACTTATCGTTGTAAAACTACTTACTGATTTTGTTTTAACTAGCGGTTGCTGTAGAGTACTATTAATGGGAGACTTTAAATCAATTGATTCTTGAGTATGTTGAACAGTAGCGGATAGTTGAGTATTGTTATCTTCATCATAAACATTTTCATTGTTAATATTGCCCAATTTGTCGTCATTATCATCGTCATAATCATAATCAAAATTATCATCATCTGTTTGGCTGGATTCAAGCCAATTAGAAATGTACTCATTCGGATCAGATGAATCTGAACACAAGAAAATTTAAAACATAGAAAATGATCTCTATATATTAAGCTAAGTAGAAAGCTGTATACAAATGTATCTGTTTGCATATTTTTGGTTTTTATTTATTTATTTGAACATATAAATATTGGTACGAAGGAGCACCAAATACATACGCACAACACAAGTCACTTGATTTGTTAAGGGCTGTGATACTATCCGAGGGCCCAGACCGAAGCAGATGGTTTTCTTAGGAGGCTACACTCGGAGCCTTCGACCTAAAGGTCTGGTCCACAAGGCAGTGGAGCGACGTTAAGGGATGCAGTCACATGGAAGCCTGTGATCAACAACGGGTTCATACGCCATTTGTTCACTCAGAATCCTGGAACCCATGTGCACCATTGGTTTGGAATGAGGGTTTTCCAACTTCCCTAGGTAGATCCTCCGTATCCACCAACCCTGTTAAAGCGCCGGACATTCGCATTTCGTCTTCTCAATTTCGTAAAGAAAAATAATGCCGCGAGAAGGTAGTGAGTAGGACTTCCCTGGTAGTGGCCATGTGAGAGCATTTGGAGAGGAAGAGCGGACTCTCCCCACCCTCGGCTGTACCAGGGCATTTGGGAGAGTAATGAAACTCAATTACCAAGTACAAGTTTGTGACCGCGGGTTACAGTCGCATTTTATATAATGGCTACTATTACTACGCAGTTGATCAAAGCCAAGTTGAGTAAAGTCCGAACTTGTGACATAATCGTTGAAAGTCAAACATTTTGCCATCAAGTCACCACTTTTACTTTTCATACAGATGATTGTATAATTGTACTGTTTATCATTAATTTATTGAAAATAAGATGGAACAATTCTACAGATAACCCAAATATCATTTATTTCCGTTTAAATAAGAATGATAACATTCTACAAACACATTAATCTTCCCCTTTAATATTTCTAGTTGATTTTCCCATGCATTTGTGATTGCATTAAATGGTAGACGATGTAAAAAAAGTCGATTAGAATATTGACCCAAACTCGGATTAGTCAGTATATGTGTTAATGTGATATTAGTACCATTCATAGGAGGTAGAGTCAACATCTAGTTTAACAAACGGAATGGAATTTGTAAAGCTTTGTATTCCACTAACAGAACCTTCAATCTGAGCACCTAGAAATAGAAAACGTGAAATTACTTCCAAATCAAACATGTTGGTAGGCTGAAATCAATGATAGTATTGTGATGTATGCTACTTATGCTGACGTATATAAGTAGTATGTGGCAGAAGAAAATTGAAATGAAAAGAATAGGAAGGAAATCGGAAAGCAATTAAAATAACGACTGAATTGGAGGAGTCGTGATGTATGTGTTATAATTTCCTGGTATTACAACCCAGCTATTCCTATTGCTTAGTATTCTCGGACACCAATTCATTCGACAAGACCCCAAATCAGAACACGGTTGAACAAGGAAAAGGTTATATTCCAAATGACAAAGGCAGATGGAAGTAAGGAGCATAATAAGAGATACGTTAGTATAGTAATTTAAGTATCAACTAGCGCTGATTGGATAAGAATTAGCAATTTATGAACCAATACTATACGTATATTTCTATCGTATAATTGTTAAATAACTAAACTATTCATATTCGTGTTCCTCTTATCATAAGCTTTATTTTGACATATGAACTATTATTATACGTTTTACCGTCCTTGAGTTATACCCAGTATATCAATTACTACCTGCCACATTCACATCCACTTTTGGCTAAATCTTGTACAAATGTTGTTTCCTATTTTATGGTATGATATGGTCTGTCTGGTTGGTATATAAACCCAGTATGTTTGAAATAAATGGTTTATATTGCAGATGCTGAGATTGGTGTTCTGAATTTAACTGGCTGGGCTAGGTAGTAAGCAGGATCAATAAGTACTCTAAAATACTAATAGTACTTGTTTTATGTGTCATTGGTCCGATCGATAATTCACTGTTCTCTAATTGGCGGCATCATTACGTTATACATTGACAGGGCACACTGGCGACAAGTTATAACAAAAAAAAAACAATAAACAACTAAAAAAGTCCAATGGAATTTACCTGTACAGTTTATATCTTGTTGAAGTTCCAAAGATGTATGTTGATCATAAAGTAAATTATTCCATTGAGTAAGATAATGCGTTTCACTTGTTGACAGATTAACTACACCACTCTCTGATAAAGTAATAGGATATCAAAAGAAAGATGACCAAGAACAAAATGTTTGATGATATGATTAAAAAATCATAAATATGAACAATTAAAAACATCGAAAAGTGATACGCTTACGTTTAATTGGTAATAATTCATCAGGAGTAGGCATTTCAGGTAGTCTTTCACCTGAAATGTTACATTTTGATGCACGACGCATTTTCTCTTCATGCCACATAGCTTCTAGGCCAGGATTTATAGATAGATTATCTTTAAAATGTGTAATTAAAACAAAAACATGATGTCAGATGAAGTAAAAAGAATTGGAATACTACTATATGACGACAAGGATAACAATATATAAGTAAATAATGTAAGAATTCATACAAAATCTATGTACTTATGTACCAACACAAGATAAGGAAATAGGTACTTGAATTCGTTAAATGAAAAGCTTGAAAAATGAGGCCATAAGATTGCGAAACACATATTATGCTAAACATAAACTTATAAAAGTTACTTTACAGTTATATTTTAAAAACTTTCACTGGGAACAAACCTTGCAGATCTCGACGGTTCAGTATGTCCCAAGCAGATATATCAACTTCTAGTTCCATACTTGTACATTTTGGAATAGATTCTGGTGATAAAAGATACTCCCTGAATAAATAAAAAATTTCGACGAGGTTATGCACCGATAAATTAATGGCGATTAGCTTTTAAAAAACAAAACCCATTATATTGTTCACTAACACACTTGTTATTATAAATTTACATCATTTTGTCGGAAGCTTATTTGCAACCCGAGGAAAAAGATATGCAGATATAAATTTATTTATTATTTAAACACATAAACATTGGTATAAGGAGGCAGCAAAATATATATGCACATATGTGTGAGGGCTGGGGTACTTGCCGGGTACCCAAACCGAAGCAGGTGGTTTTCGTGGGGGGGACTACACCTGGAGCCTTCGACCTAAAGGTTTAATCAACGAGACAGTGAAGCATCGTGAGGAGGTGAAGTCCCATGGTAACCGATGACAAACAATTAGTTCATATGCCATTTGTTCCTTCAGGATACTGGAGCCGTTGTGCACCATTGGTTTGAAGTGAAGGTTTTCCAACTACCCTAGGTGGACTCTCCGTGTCTACCAACCCGGTTAAAGCGCCAGATATTCACTTTTTGTCGTCTCAATTTCGTAAACAACACCCCCGCCGCGAGAATACAATGAGTAGAACTTCCCTGGCAGTGGTTGTATGTACGTAGCCATGTGAGAGCATTTCGAGAGAGAGCGCTGGCTCTCCCCACTCTCGGCCATACCAGAACATTTAGGGGCTTTTACAAATGACTCGCAAAAGTTCATACTTTCCCTACTCTTCGGAAATATGATTACCTGATTGAGACAGAACTACTCGTAATCAACTAGAAACCCTAAAGAGGAATAACAACCTAGTCAAAAATATCTTATTCCGGTCGAATGCCGAATAATTACTCTTCTATTTAAATGTCATATTCAGGGAACCGAAAATTTACTTAGCTTACATTTTGTATACATCTATACGTTAAATAATTCGTATTTCTTACGTTATTTAAAAGCATATAAAATTAGACTATTATTTCAACATTTTGTAAAAGTAGTCATGCGTTATTTTTTCATATGGTTTATCAAATACAGTCAATAAAACCAACTAACTTTATGACTATATTATTTACTTTTATAGCTGTTAAACAGTTACGAACTTTATGATTTCTAAGAGCTAAGGGGCCATCAAAGCGCTTAGAATATTCTATAACATTTATCAGGGTAATGCTTTGTAAACAGTTTTGCTTTTGACAAGGTCAAAATGAATGGTATGTATAGGATAAATCAACAATAAGTCCGACAGTTGCTAAATGCATTTTTTACGTCTTCAGTTTAAAGGTAACACAGAAAAGTATTTTAACAACTCCCCGAATAATTGTAAATACAGTAAAAATAACCGTTTCTAGTATCGAAGTTAAGGCTATCAATGCTAATTGAGGTGAAATCGAAGAAAAGTGTGAACAATAAACACCACTCATGATTTACACATAAAGTGAACATGGAGAGGAGAAACAAGAATAAAGTTGCATTATAATAGGAAGGAACAAGTCTGTAGTTCTGAGTTTGCATTACACAATTACTTGAAATTATTCATGACAATAAACGCCAGAGCATTGGTGCTGTTAGAACATTTAAACCCTTGGTGACACTTGAATTAAGTTATTGGTTAAAGTGTGAAACACATAATTGCAGTAACTTACGAACCAAATTTTTGGGGATTCCAAGCATTTTCCGAGCTTCTTACCAACGACGGAAATCCTACAGAATTTGAGGCTACAAGCTATAAATGAATCTGTGCACTTACTACGGAATCTAAAATACCCTGCATAAAGCAGGTTCATACCAAACAGATTATAATCCACACAAAACTACAACCAAATAATATAAGTAATACGATGAAACCTGTAATAAGTATGGAATATGTGATTCATAAGTTTGAAAGGGACGATTTAATACGACCCCACTCAGCAATATCTCGGAACAGACGGAAACCAAACTGGGGTCGACAAGGTAAAGCTTGATGAAAGGTTTTTTTGATTCGTGATAACCGTATATCGAACTACACTGGGGTGAAAAACGAACCTAACTTACAAACCAGATACCACCGAAGCGTCAAAAACTATGACGTCTCTGACATTAAGAGTGCTAAACTTTGCACGAATGGATTTTTCAAGGCTGAGAACAAACGACTGGACGAACTCATGAATATTTGACTCCACATTTGGCAGCTCAACGAAAATGTACGGCAAAACCCCGTGTACGTTGGCACATATTTTCTGGCCTGAGAAACTTGTAAGAGCACACTTAACTTACCTGTATGTGTTGTGCCATAAACTCGAATGATCGGGATCCGATGTGAGTAACATCTTGCAAACTTTGAATACCCTATATCCAGTAAATCATTTGGCAACGAAAAGTAATAATCTAGAGAGAATATCTTTATTGATAAACATCCTGGAGTCATATATGTTGCAAGATGCAAGATAACTGAAACTTTCAGTCTTTAGCAGCACTGCATCTAATTTGAAGATATGCTATATTGAGGGTGAGAAGAACCCTATCAATACTTTCTTTAATGCTGAAGAATCTGAAGAAAAATAGAAATGTGAGTCAGAAGCTCGGTGAAAAAAATAAAATGCAATGTAAATTTACTAACGAAAGGAATCGAAAACAATGTACATAAATTTTTTAAGTAGCTTGCTTACCATATGGAAGTCAACAACACGGGTTTTCAAGGTCGCGCTATGTAACGTGACGCTTAAAAACCCGCCATTATTTTAGCTTGCCTCTCACTAGGCTATACAATAGGCTTATGTATAACAGCCAGACGAATACATTCAAATTGTCTAAGTGATTTTAAACGGAAAAAAAGATTTCGATTGGCGATCACTGTGTCTAAGACCTAGGTATTACCCTAGGTATATCAAAAGGCATAAATAAAAGAATCGCTGGCCAGTTGGTGTGAAATTATCTTTCAATCCCCTTAGAATATATTAGTTTATGCCAGGAAGGTGTAGTAGAAATTGCTTAGAAGTTATGTACGTGGTAAATTCTACCTCATGCAAACATCGGTACTATCAGCAATATTACGGGTAAAGAAAAGCTATCGATTTCTGTCGATTCCATATTTGTATCACGAGTAAAACACTTACTCATCTACCGAGTCACCAGTAGCAAAGGTTTCATAGCTCATATCCTAGCCAGCCAAGCTCATTCAAGCAAAGTGCATTGTGGTGTTTGAATAAACTAATGACTCCTTGGTACTTGTTGAATGTTTGATTTCGAATTCTAAATACAGTACATTTGTTAGTGCTTGTGTAGTACTTCTTGATTCAACTACGTTATCCCTGGGATTATTAGTTCATACTATAATTCAATTACTCCTAATTATCATATTGGCGTCGCGATGGGGCCTGCGATGGAACAGTTAGATATTCATCCGGATTTTGATGCTTATGAGGACTACTTTGAAAGGTTCGAAATCTGCGCTATGACCAAGGAAGATGATGAGAATATTAATATTGTGGCACATTTTCTCACATTCATTGGAAAAGAAGCATATAGCTTAATAAAAGTTTTGGCTTTACCGGAAAAGCCCATTTCTCTTCCTTATACAGCTCTCAAGGAACTACTTCTAGACTATGCTAGGTATACAAATTTCGAATGCGGTAAAGGGAGATATCGTAAAATAATTCATGAGGATATAAAAAATTCCACTACATTACGTCGCCCCATCCCAGTGCATACTCAAGATTATGCAGATAATTCATTTGGGAAGTGCGATGCAGTTGACGAGGATAGACACAAGTTTGGTCAATGTTTGTGCTGTGGCAGGTTCCACCCTTTTAATTCATGTAAATTTCGTAATTGTAAGTGCTTTAAATGTGGTGATGTCGGACATATTCAGTCAGTTTGTAATACTACTGTTCATCTTGCTGCAACTAATATTCAGTCTTTCGATTCTGATTCTATTAATCTGAATATTTATAATGATCATTTATCTTTATCGACGATTTCAAAAGACAGTTTAGAGTCATGTAGTAGTTCAGAGTTGAATGAAACTCAGGATCCTTGCGAGAAAACAATTCTCATGTTATTGTACTAGATATGATTTTTCCTAATGATTCACATATTTCTGACGAAATTTCTTACAAATCTGATGAGAATATTTCGGATGAGCCTAATGATGATCAAAAAGCTGATTTAGTTTTGATAGATGCTGATTTTTCTAATGATTCTTTGCTCTGCAATGACATTCTTAATAAATGTGAGGAAAATACTTCAGAAGAATTCAATCCTGATGACGTCGTATCAAATGTTATTTGTCCTCATAATGTATTTGTTTCTTATGGGAAACCTGTTCAATGCGAAACACAAGTATCAAATGAGTTCGATTTTGAATACGATTCATATGATTTCACATCAACTGTTGTTTATCCTTATCATAAATTCACTTCCAATGTATACTCTAGTCAATGTGACAAAGATGTTTTAAATAAAACCATATTATTCATGACTTAGGGATATGAAGATCCGACATTATTTCGTGGGGGAGGATAGTCTGAATGTCTATGGTTGAAATTCTAGGTAGCAGTACTTTCAGTACTCAACCGACATGATGATTGTACACAATCCCAGAAATCAAGTGAGTCTGTTCCGATTTCAGTTGTTTATTCTAATAATAATGAGTGCATTCTAGATAATACAGAGTCTTTATACAATACATTGTCGGACAGACAGCATGAACTTAAGAAGAACACGTACAATTGATTACAGACAGTTAGACTCTAATTTAAGCTGTGGCGGATGTGGTGTTTGAATAAACTAATGACTCCTTGGTACTTGTTGAATGTTTGATTTCGAATTCTAAATACAGTACATTTGTTAGTGCTTGTGTAGTACTTCTTGATTCAACTACGTTATCCCTGGGATTATTAGTTTATACTATAATTCAATTACTTCTAATTATCATATGCATCGGAAGAATCCGGCAAAACCAGGAACTTCAAAATCGAGAGCTATAAAGTCGGCCGAACAACTGTCATCACTCGATGTCGAAATGTCAACGTTCACAGAAGAATAAGTACAAGAAAAAGTACTATACTGACATACAAATTTAGTATTGTTTGTAACTACAGTAGAAGACCATAATGGTGATGCTATGTAAGCAATCAGATTTATATTGAACAAATATTGTTCGTTTGTATTGATCGTATCAAACATGAACGGATAAAATCGACTTGTTCATTGGTATCTGCACTACTTTTATATGTTCGAATTAACACTACCCACGTCATTCACTTTTCTGCTTTACTAGTCACGGCTTGTGATTTAAGACTATAGTAGCGTTGGAATCCTCAAGGGAAACGAAAAGGAGGAAGGCCAAATACACACTACATCGTGATATGGAAGCAGAAATTAGAAGAATGAGAAGCCAATGGGAAGGTTTGTATGAGAGTGAGTTGGATGGAGAATGTTGGTGGACAGCCTACGCTTTTCCATGATGGGCGACAGGCGCAAGTAAGGATACTGAGTTCTTTGACAATGTCCCTGTTCTAAACGGACTACAAGTTAAGCAGCACTAACAGCCTTGAGTCAACTCAGAATATTTATAGGTCCTCCTTGTGATGTCTTCTCGTTTAGCCTAGCCCATTTAGTCTAGAACATAAACATCAGCTCCTAATACATGAATCTTCGTTTAAATACATGTAGATCAGTACGAATCACATCGTAGAACAGAAAATAACAATTATACGGGATCAAGCCGAAATTGGCTGAGTGTGAGACACTGTAACATATAAATTGGAGATAATTTAAGGATAGTAAATCGTCTAACACTATCCAATGGGTCAGAGGAAAGCTTATTCTCCCCATGAAGGTTTGTCGGAATTACTGTTAGAACATAATATGCGAGTTGAATAATCGTAATTTAAGAATAAATGTTTGGTATGTGAACCGATATTTGATTCTCTTTTATTTGGGCTGCGTGTTTACCTCGTAAAATTTTGTGAGATAAATGTTTGATTTCGAGACATATACCCCCACAGGGAAAATTTTGGGAGAAACATGCACTGTTTACCCCGGATTGAGGAAAAGGTGATATTTCGATACATTGTTGCCAGTATTCGCACCAAGTTTCATTGTGAACTTTCCTCGGTATTTACGACCATTGCCCCTTTAGTATCAACTTACTACGCCTCAATAACAGATCAGAGTAAAATTTCGACGTGGCACTTGGTAATACACAGACAATATTACATCGTGTGTATGTCAGTAATTTTGTCATACAGCTCTCGCTTTGAGGAAGAAGAGGACCATGTAATTTATGAAGGCTACTGTAACAAGATATAAATCAAAAGTTCATCAAATTAGTCTCGATTGTAAACTACAGTCAAATCCAAAACGTGTTTTTTGTCACGGGGAAAGATGTTATCCTTGGGGCCTCTTCAGCAGTACCTCTAGACAAAACTATCGTAAACATCTCAGTCACTTAAGGCATTCTTGATGTCGACAAAAAATTGAGCTAGCAAGTATAACGTACCACTGTCACTGACCATAGTAAAGTGTGAGACAAAGATAACCTCTAGATCGGTGCTAAAACAATAAAAGATATACTGAACGAACCGCCAAATTTTGATATCATGGTCCAAAAATGTAGTCTACATATGGAACTTATACCGAATTTCGATGTCAATACACTTATCTATGTAACAAACTTATAGCTAGAGTATAGCGTAGTTGAATCTCCCTGACATAATTTCTTGACCTATCTGATCATACATCGAAGCCACATTGCTGTCCATACTGGCGTAATGTGCCAGTTAGACGTATTGCCTATAAAGAACTCTTATTATAACGTTCAGGTTGGTGATAAAACTTGCTTATATGAAGAGATAACCGCAATGATTGTGTCTTCACAGCCAAGCCTGGTAGTCTCCACCATATCTCCGTGTTGATTTGACCAGTCGTTGATGAACGTACCATCATCTAATACTCAGCAACGATTTCATTTGCTGATATTGATTAAAATTTTCAACATACGCCCAACGTGTAAACAATTTTCTCAATCAAAAGCGTTTAGATGTGACGTAATCATCGTGAAGAATTCAGAGTTAAATGAGTGATTATTTTGTTAATGGGGTCAAGAAGATCTTAAGACCATACACTTGCCACGTGAATCACGTACGCGACCAGGCTCTGGATAATCAGTACATTTCGTCTAAAAAGCCTGAATACGGCGAACCGACTGAAGATGCAAGTCTTCTGACAATCATTTTATCAAACGATCCGATCAACGTGGGTGGTAGAAAACCAAGGTTATCAATAGCGAAACACATAATTGAAACGGGGCACAAAATTGATATTATTACAGCTTTTAAAACGTTGTATAGAAATTGTCAAGGAAGAATTCTTAAGTTTATTGAAGCCTTGGCTATTCGTAAATTTAAGGCCCCCTTATGTGTACAAAAACAATCTGTCGTAACCTTGAATTTATCTTGGTAATCCTTGAGTCATTCTATGGCCTAGGATAATGCGACAATTTCTTATCCTTTCTCTCCCCTTTGTTATTTTTTGTTTGTACTTTAACTTTCATGTAATTGACCTTTATTAATTTTCATATAAAATGCCCTGACAAGTATATGTGTGACCAGATTGTTCGAAATGTATAGCGAAAATACATCACATTTTTCAGATCAACTCCGTGTTCTCATTGTTCTATCGAAATATGAACTCAACGACAACGAGTACCCATGATGTTATATACCTCGGAATCCTACTGCAGCAAACCAGTTTTCAGTTGAGGACGGGGTTTTGACTCTACCCCGAAATGGAAATGCGCTAGTATTTGGGATCGGATGACTAGCATTGAGTCTGAAAACCGAAAGATACGAAACTCATATTAGAAGAACCTTAACCTCGTTCTTTACATGCTTTGACATCTATTTTTAATATCTACCGAACTAAGCTCTAATAATTCCTCAAGTCAGTAGAAGCCGGAATTTCAAAAAGTTTTACGAAGTATCTCTTTGTATATATCGGACAAGCAAACAACGGTAAATGTAATATCTATAAGGGAATATAAAACTATCCCTCTGTTTTATATCCCAAAGAAAATTGATTTCTATATACAATTAATAACGTGCACACATAAGTAACGAAAGTAGTACAGATATGAAACTGAAGAAACTAAAGAAATGAATCAGAAGAGACCTTAATAGTAGGTTGGTTGGATGTCACTTAAGAATCTTTTTTCCTTCATTTGTTGCGATTTTATTTGTACAGTTGTGTTGTCTTTACGCTTTCTTAATTCAATTCGATCAAGCCAGTTGCGCAATGACTCTTTCAATTCTAAGAGAAAAAAATGACAATAATATTGGCGACTTAATCAGAAAGTTATCAAAACCGTCAAGCGATCTACGTTATATAATCACTGAACACTTGGAAGCATTGGATAACGTTTCCTTTATAGTTTGAGAATCTTTGGTAGTGCACATCCACAAGCACGCCAGGGGGTGAACCGAGAAATTTTAGGTCTCACGACAAACGCTTGACCTTTAATCAAGTAGTTTAGTGTCCAATAGTTTATTTCTCGAGCTCTAGTGAGGTCGTGATGTTCAACGACCATTAATCTAATGCCATTGGTAGATAATTGCCTCATGTCTGACAAAACTGTACTTTACTGGTCATGGCTTCTAACTAGAAGCGGGTTTTCTACTTTCTCTGATTTGTGAAATAAAATTTACAAGATGAATAGTTGAAAATGTGCACGTAAATTTTGGTATACTGTCCTCAAACGTTTTACACAAAATACCGTACTGTAGATGTTTTGAAAACACCGAATGGACATACAAATTAGGGTGGATTTTCGTGATGATATATTTCTCATGTTCATTTAGTTATTCTATACATTTCTTAGTCACTTGATAAGATTTGCCAATAAGATGCCAGTTCACAATAATCCACAGTAAGTATACTTTTTCATCTACACACCAACATCTTTAGCTTTAAACAGTGACACGTTCAACCCTCAAAGGTAAACCTTGAACGGTCACCAAATCATGTAAACTCCTAAAAGATCAGAACGTGTCTTCTTCAAGTCCCAAAATTCGGTCCAGTCATAGAACAAGGTAGCAGACAGTCATCCTCTCAGAAACAATACTTTACAAACAATCACGCTATATGTGATAGAGAATGGAGCAGTAGGTGGATAATTAACAAGTAATAAATAGGAAAGAGTAAAACTCAGTCAGTGACTGACTGAGTAAAACAGATAACATCAGTTAGTGAATCAATGGGAGCTTATAATACGGGTAAAACAGATCTGTAATAATGGAGTTGTGCAATGACCACGTAATAAAAGTATGTACAACAATATTAATCCGTAGATTAGTCTGAAAAGCTACCGCTTCCCTAATATTTGCTTCATTGGTCAATTATTTACAATCCTCAAATCATAAGTTCGTCTGACCATCAAATGATATAATAAACTGACAATTCATAAGCTAATCAAAATTTAGTTTAGATGTTATACATCAATGTTGAGACTTTTAGAAGATAGTTGGAATAAAAACAAAGCAGGTCATTTGACCCACATTAAGTGTACGAAATTTGATGACAAGAATTAAATTTTAATAAGATATAAAGCAATTTTAATCTCATACTTTAAGGGAAGACAAAGTGTATACACCTACGTCGTTGTGATCAATTATGAAGCATGTCACCAAGAATCTCAAAACATTGTTAACGATAGTCACACGGACCCCAACCAAGTAGTCTGCATCTACTAACATGACTCAGACTAGAAGTTAGTGACTTTATGGACTGATGCCACGTTTGGTTTGACCGCCCCTAACTTGCTTCCAACCATCTCCAACAATAGTCATCATTGCGCATCGTGGTAATCGGTGTTCCAGCATACGCAACATGTGGCCCAACCATTTCAGTCAATGGAGATTTACAACCCCATCAACTGATTAACCAGCATTCCCTAATATCCTGAGCCTAACTTCACTATTACTTACCCGGTGATTCCAGAAGGTGCGACCAATGTTTCTAAAACATCTGTGGTCAAATACTAGTAGCTTACGAGTATCTTCTATTCATAATGGCTACGTTTCACAGCCATAAAGTAGGACAGAACGAACAGACTACATACAACAAAGGATTTTGAAGTACCAAAAACTTAGTGCATTATGTCGATAACGACTTAGTTGCTTCACATAAAAATTTACCGCAAATAGTAATATCCCATAATCTAATCAGTCAATGAGACTACAACTTACCTGGAATATTTGTGTGATGCAAAGCAGAGACCAGCTCGATCGATTCGAATTTGGGTGTAAGACTAGGTAACAATTTTGGAGGAAGTTGTGAATGTTGTTTTGCTTCAGATGAATCCATACGTTCAAGCCAATATTTTGTTTCTAAAGCTTCATCCATTGCACCGGTAGTATCAATCTAGTGATGTAAGAATGTAACATAATGATCACACACTGGGTTGGTGACAATAATAACTTTAAGGTGATGACAAACAAGTATTTATTATTTGCGATAAAACTGTTTAACCCAACAAACGCTAGAAAAATTGCCTATTTAGCCGAATAAGCATACGTTTGAAACTTTTCACTTCCTTCCGACAGCTAAGACACCGCCACCGTTGTGTGATTAAAAACGGTTTATCATAATCCATTAGTTCGATCGTAAATACTTCTAGTCATTCTAATGATGGGTATATCTTGTGTTAACATTTAAATGAATAATGAATCTTGAATTAGGAAGAATGTGCCGGACAGCTTCGTTTTAAAGACGACAATGTATAACACAGCAAAATAAAACCTGTACAATATAAAAATAAACACAATTGTTTAATTAATTAAACTTACTTTATTCAAAATACAAGCCATTGGTTTTTCAAGAAGTAAACCATTAGACCATCGTTCCATTTGATTTAAAACTAAATAAGCAACAGCTAATGCATTACGCCTAGAACTAAATTGATCTCTACAAAATCCAAGTGAATCTAGCACAAGAAGTATGCATGAACTACGTTCAACATGTTTTAAAAAGTTCGTATGTCTTAAACTCGGTAAAGATGCATTTGAATCAGGTTGATCGTTGCTACTCTGATTTATCTGTGCATCATAATGAGCATAAATATCAGAGAGACCTAGAACAAGTAGTGCAAAGAAAGAATAAATAAATAAAAACAGACCGATTATACATAATACAATAAAAATTATAATGGAATGTGAATTTAAAAGGATCAGATATTCTCATCACAAGAAATAACTTACCAGTTGTAGATTACCACATAAAAATTTTTAATGACGTTATGTTTTATTTGCCCCCAAATGCCCTGGTACGGCCGAGAGTGGGGAGAATCGGTTCTCCCTCTCCAAATGCTCTCACATGGCCACGTGTATACAGCCACTGTCAAGGAAGTCCTACTCACTGCCTTCTCGCGGCATTACTGTTCTTTACGAAATCGAGAGGATGAAAAGCGAATGTCTGTCGCTTTAACCAGGTTGGTTGATTCAGAGAATCTACCTAAGGAAGTTGGAAAACTCTCATTCCAAATCAATGGTGCACATGGGCTCCAGTGTCCTGAGGGAACAAATGGCATATGAGCTAGTCGTTGGTCACCGGTTACCATTAAACTGCATCTTCTTACGATGCCCCACTGCCTTGTGGATCAGACCTTTAGGTCGAAGGCTCCGGGTGTGGCCCCCTAAGAAAACCTCCATGGTACTCCAACTGAGGTGAATCTGTAACAAATCCCGCTCAGGAATCAAAAAAATTCTCCGTAAAACTCGCTTTATGAAATTTAATATTACAACTAATAATCTATAATAAATTTATGACTAATTAGATGTAAATCTAACATAGTCAACTATTATCTTTTAATGATACAATATGTAGCAATTATAACTAAGGATTATCACTATACATTGATATAATAAAGATTACGATTTCATATAGTCCCACAAAAAACCATAATCATAAATCTTGAGTTTAAAGTGGGTGCCGATGAAGATATATATGAAAATTGTCTGGAAAAATCTTTATGAAAGACAAACTTATACAGTAGATCTTTGCATGTTCTACGGTGGTCACCCAGTTATACAACTTAAGTTGAAAGATAAGTTGCCATGGCCGACCAATTCTATGTGTATACACCAGTTTACCTGTTTCTGTAGAACTGGGTATGTAGATTATACGTCAACACCTCCTCTTTACCTCGTCCAAGAGCATACTCTAATATGGCTCATATAAATTGCGTCTCCAATCCTGTTGCAAGTAGTGAAATCAAGATATTCACTACTAGATTAACCCTTTGACGTTATCTACAAGGTCCGATCAAGGATTGTAATAAGTTGACATCTTAACCTACTTTACACTATAGAACCTTTAGCCTCCAAAATCAAAACCCCGATCTGTGTTAACAGAACAGTTTATTAGATCTTTCTCGTTTCTTACATTAACTTCAGATTGACCATATATCACATGGCCACATGCATACAACCATTGCCTTCTTGTGGCGGGGTGTTGTTTATTAAATCGAGAGGATAAAAAGCGAATGTTCGGCTCCGCGTGTGACCCCTTAAAAAAAACCACCTGCTTTGATTTGGGCACTTGGACAGTATCCCAGCCCTCACACAAATCGAGTAATTTATGTGACGCATATCTATTTGGTGCCTCCTTGTACCAACGTTTATGTGTTTAAACAAATAATATAAATAACTTTAAAAAAACTCCCACTTAAAACTCATGACTTTTGTTCATATTATATGGCCTTTACTCCAACTTTTCGGTCATGAACACAGTGTTTATCTTAATGAATATCTCTCAAGTGTTAGAAATTTTAACCCCTATCCTATAACTAACCCCATAGAACCATTTCGTCAATTCTTGACCAAAACTTACACGCTTAATATTTTAATAAACACAATCTTACTTCAAATTCTAGTGGTTTAAATTATCACACTGTTCATATACTAACTGAAATTTGATCAGTCTTGGTTGATATATGTTTATCAATATGGTTATTATGATACAAGTTTATATAGAATAAATGAAATCTGGTTAGCAGTGGAATTTAAGACGCGCGTTTCATTCTCTTTGGGACTCATCAGCTGGATGTACCAGCCTCTTCTAAGAGTTGAATTTCATCTCTAAACTCAAATCCACTAGCGTTCGCTTCAAATGTCAGCGTGTTATCCAGATAGTCACTTCCTTGTGCAACGTGTATAAATTTCACTTTAGTTTTCAATAGTTTGGATTATCCTTATGTTAACATATCGACTGAAATTTGAGTGACTATCTGGACTCAGTAGCTAAGTGGATAACGTGATGGTGTTTGAAGCGAACACTGGTGAGTTCGAGTTCCGAAGTGAACATCAACTCAGAGATGCAGGTATATCCAGATGAAGAGTTTCAAATAGGATGAAACACGCGGTCCTGGATTTCACTACTAGCCACATTTTATGTAGATATACAATCTGTTTATAGACTATATGGAAGTAAAGTCAAAAAAAGATTTCTTCAGTGAATTTACTTTTTGCTTTATATTTAAATATATCAGCAATGATGATTTGATGATACCTAAACATGAACACATAAAATATTGTGTAAGTCGACAGGTTTGCATGTCAGAACTTATAATGGACCAGAAATTAATTAATTCAGTAACAATTTGAATTTAATTTGTATGAATATTTACCTGGTAAATCTGCTATACTTATCTTACGATGATCTGAGTATATGCATTTGGCAACTTGTGGTTTGATTGTAGTGAAAGGATAATTGGCAATTTTCGCAGGTGCACCAGATAAAGCTTTTAATAAACTGGATTTACCAGCATTAGGAAATCCAACCAAACTATAATCAGCCATAAGCTATATTGAAAGAAGAATCAATTAATAAACGTTAAAATATCTTGTTGAAGTAAGGTAAGTAACTTATAATGAAGAGTTCATTTAGAGGAGTTGGAAAGCCATCATTTCAAACCAATGATGCATATGTGCTCCAGTATCCTGAGTGAACAAATGGCGTATGAACCTATTGTTGATCACCGACTACCATGAGAATGCATCTCCTGATGTTGCTCCACTACCTTGTGGATTAGACCTTTTAGGTCGACGGCTCTGGGTGTGGTCCCCTAAGAAAATCACCTTCTTCGTTTGGCCACCCGGGCAGTATTCCAGCCATCACACAAATCGAATGATTTATGCGGCGCATATCCATTTGGTGCCTCCTTGTACCAATGTTTATGTGCTTAAATAAATAAACGACTTATTTATGAGTAGCTGAATATAATATCCGACTTTAAAAAAAAACTGGACCTACCTTAAATTTATGGTTCTAGATTAGTCAAAACATGAATAACCTTTGTTGAATCGACAAAAACTGGCTTAAACCTATGCAAGATAAATATTTAACTCTACAATATAGCAGAATCACTCAACAGAAATAAGCAGTTGTCTTAATTTTATTTTTAAGCCCAAAATCGACCATGAATTTAATGAGTACCAACTGTGTATTCTTCCCTGGTTTCATAACAAAAACATCGTCTTCAGTAAGAATAATTGGATATCAGTTATTGCTGACAATTTAATCTACGATCCGGAACACAATTAAGTTTATTTTGATTATCGAAGGGTGGGATAATATTTAATGAATGGTTGAATTGCTTTTTATCAAAAGATAACAAATTATCACCTTTAAGTCTAAGACGATACTGTGAGCTTGACCTGGTGAGCCAATATACCCATTTTGGTGAAAGCCACCCACACCACCTTGTGCTACAAGTAATTTTTGACCGACTTGATCCAAATTTCCAAGTATTCGTTGTTCTGATCCATTAGATGATGATGTCCCTTGACCTCCAAACAATACAGTTATTCCAGCAGGAACACGAATAGTCAAGTCTTCACCATCTAGACCAACAACTAAACCACGGCGTTTACTTGCCTCTGTTCCATGTCCAGCCTATAAATGTACAAACAGATGAATGATTAGAAGAAAGTCTCATTTTAATTAAGGGTACATTTAACCAGAAACGAGTCATACATTAACATCATATTACTAAAGGAAAGAACATTAACTGTTAAACATAAAGTGTATTTCGTCGCAAATTATTATTTGATGTTTTTTTATGATTTTAGAAGTTCTGTGATATTTGTTTTATACACGAACAACAGAATCCTGAGGCGTCCGGAAAAAAAGGAACTAAAGTTGTCTCAAGTAATTCAGATCAAACAACAATGTTGTAGTTTTAAACATTAAATAATCCATGTGATTTTCTACGATATATTTTCTCTAGACAAGTTAGCAAACAAAGAGCGATTAAATTTCCTGAAGGTTGAAAAGTGGTTAAATATAACAGTTTTTTCGATAATATAAGTTTAGATGTGTTAGAATGGTGTGTACTAAATGAATGAATAGGTAACGTAACTATGAGTCAAGAACATTTGTAAAGTAATTAATAAACTTTTAAAACTACAAGGAACAATAAATTGTATAAAAAATTTTAATGGTAATTCCTAGCTGTGTTGTGAGACACTACGATGGGTATCTGATTCATTGAAACGACTGAATATAGGTTACTAGGAATATAAATGATGCAAAGTCAATAATTAAGTAGAAGACCATACACTCACTGTTGGGTCGTATTTACTCGATTGTAGCTAAAGTTATTATCTGAATATTTTAACAAAAGTGGGTGGATTGAGATGCTATAAGTCGTCAGTCAGTCAGTAACAACGTGGAACTTCGTACGTACGTACATCAGTTCGAGTTGCCATACCACATTAGCACAGAGATTCAGTTATCGATTCAAATCCCATAGTGGTAGAGGTACTGAAAGTATAAGTAGAGATAGGGGACATGAAGGTTTGATGATGTTATTAAAGGAGTATAGCCCAGTGGAATAAATTGGGAAAGAAAATAAAGGACATGAAGAATTCAGAAGATTAGAGTTTGAGAGAACACAGATAGTGGATTCACCTGCTCACACAATTGAAAATGAGTTTGAGCCATGTCATTCAAGGTCTCTAACCATCGGTTGCTTTCATCTCGCGGTTCCCAACCACGTAATCTACACCTACCAACATGGCTCAGTCCACTTGTCAGTGACTTCATAGATTTGTGCCATGTTTTGGTCTGGCCGCCACTAGCTTTCTTCCAACCTATTCCTACACCAGAAAACATAGCACGTCGGGGCAGTCGGTGGTCGGGCATGCGCAGCACATGTCCCAGCCATCTCAACTGATTAAGTTTCACTACTTCCTCAAATGATTTGCCATCCTTACCTAGTACCCGTTTCATAACAACTGCATTACTTACTCGGTGGTTCCAGGATATACGAGCGATGTTTCGAAGACACCTATGGTCAAATACTAGTAAGTCGAGAGTTTGAAAAATGTTGAAGAACATTTTAACGAGTTTAAATGACCCATTGTCAGTATTTTTAAATCTGTTGACAGAAATTATAATCTGATATTGGTTTGTGTGAAATAGTTAATAAAATAATAAAGTACGCATACCTTACTTTTTTTCACTAACAGTTTCTGGTGTTATGGGTAAAGTTTAGAAAATATGGAACTGTTTCATGAACCCTGAGGTCACACTTTTGAGTTGACAAGTTAGTTTCTGTTTCGGATCACTTAAGAAGTTTTTCTATGGACTGGGCAACCGCAAATTGTCAATCAATTGTCCTATTCACAAGGAAATCCCAATACCAGTTTCTAATATTTATTTCAGCTTTGCTTTCAATCTTTCTGGTATGGTTTAATCCTTTCCAGAATTTACCACTTGTATTAGCACTTTGTGTTTATAGATGAGTTACAATAATCACAAAATATATGCAACTACTGACTCTCCATAATTTCAGCTCAAATCATTATTTCATTCTTTCCAAAAGAATCACATGTACGAATTATACACTGAACAATAACTGCTACCACACTTCAATCACTGAATAAAAAGTAGCGAATTGATCACATCGGAAGTAATACATACGAATCCCTGTCTTAATTGCATTTAATTTTAAGATTAAATAGAACAACCTAAATAAATAGAATGGCTCGCACACTAATCTTATTCAGACCTATTATACGAAGACTGATTATGATAATAGATGATTGCTTGGACGTAGATATACAGACTGTGGTTTATAGCCATAACACAATTGGTTGAAATTTGAGGGATTCACCTAAATAGTAACAAAAAGACATGCATAGACAGGAATAAAAAGTATCAGAACTTCTCAACCAATCGTCGTACATTTAAAATGGAGAACAATTAAATCTTGGAGGAGAAAGATGCATTTCAAGAGAAGATAAAAATAACACGTTCAAACTTTAGCACATCGATATCGATAACAATGAATCCTGTGGATGAAAATACCAGCATTTTTTTAGTAACCAAGGCACTCAGCTTTCAACCAGTTTTGAACCCTATCCCACCCACCTTTGGGTTTCGGGAGTCTGACAGTACCACTAATAAACACACACGATGTGACTTCAAGATGGCTACATCAACTGCTACTTATTAAATAAATAAAATCAATCGACTTATAAATCAGTAATAAAAACTGATGAAAAATCAACAAAATTTCACAGGAAAATATGGTATTCAAACTACCGTGAAACGTTTCGTCGGGTTAGCCGAAATCAGATTTTGGAGTGTTTGATTTTCATCGGCTTCCAGAAATACACTCCCACCATTGCCTCCTCGGCCTCTAATTGGTGGACTACCTGGGGCCCCACTTCCAGCTCTGACAAAAATACGAAGTTTGTCGATGAAACCCTTGGACATGGCAGTGCTATGAACAGAAATAACCAATAATAGGTTGAAATAACACTATTTGGCAGTGAAATATCGAAAAATACTGTTGCCGGTCTATAAATAAAGGCAAACGCTTGCTCTATTTGACTTTAATACTGCATGAGGATTTAAAGCATCTACCGTAAGTTGGGAAATACAAAACCAGCTTATTATGTTCGTGAACAGATTTTGTCGATTAGATGCCTTGTTTATAAAGTTATGATTGGTGTTCATCTTGTTGCGCTAACAGTGTATGGCAATTTGGACCGATGCATATATGTGCCTGGTCCTACGTTATAGCTGACTGACTGATGCTCATCACGAATGAAATAAGTTTATAACGATAAGTCCCAAGTCTAATTATTATAACGCCTGTTGCGGAAGAATACTGAGAATGTTACTAAAAGACGCGTTAGGTTTCAATGGGGGGTTTCCTATTCGATTAAAATTAAGAACTGTTCCACCAATACTCAATTTTAGTTTTGTTTTCGGAAATAATCATGAGTATACCATCAGAGAAGGTATATCGCCAAAACACACTGGTGAATGGATACTTACCATTCTAAAGACCAAGTAAAGTCAAGTGAAAAAAAACGTGACTTTGCATTAGTAACGCAGGTGTCAAGAGCTCTAGGTATTAGTTATGCAATAGTTTGAGAGGTGATGACAAGCGGTTGGGTAAGGGAACTCAGAAATAAATGAGGGATAACTGTGCTTCAGGTGAACATAAAACTAACAACTGATAATTACAACTTCTGGAGCCAAGAGGATCCAACTATCGTAAAATAATGGGTTAGGTATGCTGCATTAGAACTTGAGGAACAATTCAAAAACGGTCGTCGTTAAACTGGGCTCAACTATTGTTGTACAGAGTTAACATACATTATAATTTAAAGTGGTCGGCTTGGGCCATTTCACTTATCTATTAGTGCAAATCTTCCCAATCTCCAAAAAGTTTATGGGAAACCTTCAAAGTCAAGTGATATTCACCAAAGTTTGGGTGAATTTGGGGGAAATCCCCAAGGTTAAATGACCTTAATCAAGGTTGAAGGGAGAATTTCCCCATGTTTGGGGAAATTCTGGTGTTTTGGTGCCATGTCCCCAAAATTTACTATGTCGGCTTCCTCAAAATCGGGAGCTCGTGTTACGTAGTGATGTGGACCATTTGAGGACGTTAAAACAACAACAAACATGACAGAACAACAGGACATAATGTGTAACTATACCAACAACCAAAATCGCACAAGAACTAGTAGGACTTTCTGAATAATACGATGTTATAAAAGCCAAACCTTGTTTATAGTTAACACAAAATAACGTATGAAATAACAACTGAGCGTTAAGATTTTAAAATGTACGCGTCACTACATGAAGCGATGCAACGCTAAACCGGAGCCAACCAAAATTTCAATAAAACCAATAGGATGATTGGCCTTGATGATTTACACATTGCGCTGTCTGTAATTTGTCCAATATCTGAAATTTCTCGTTCAAAGCTTGTATAAACTAACAGTGTTCTATGGCATCTCTTTTTGTTGTTTTGTTATGGTTCCATGTCTTTCATCGTCTCGCTGCTTGAGCGCACTTGTTGTAATAATTTTGGCAATTATTTATGGGTTTGTTTATCCTGCAATCTGAGTAAGTGCGTATGCGCCAGGTCTCCAAGGATTCTAGGTGCTAGAAACAATCACATTATCAAGTAAAATGTTGATTGTTTCTAAGAAAAAGTTGTTAGCAGCAAGTATTTCATAAAGTTTTTAGGTATTTTGAACGATCTAAATTTTTGCCGATTAACATCTAGTAAGATTCAGTTTTAGCTCCAGTTCGGAAAGGACATTAGGCTAGGTGGCCGATGTTAGTTCTGGTAATGATGGTCTTCCAGCTTTTTCAACTTTCTTTTGAAAGCTTCGACAGATGGAGCTTTAATCGAATAGTAAGGTAATGGATTTCACCTTGGAAATCAAGTTCTCTACTGTCTAAGAACTGTATCAGCCAAGTTTCTGTGACTGCAACTACATCCGGATTGATAGTATATTTATACACTTAGTTCCGATTGCTTATTGAGCAAGATCCAGAGATTTGTGTGATAGATCCGAAGATAAACTAATTGGCTTTTTGCTGCACACAAAGTGACTTTGACATCATTCTCTTCCGGAACCTCAACATCAGGAAATTTATAATTTTTGGGTCTTTCTCACTAGCATCCAAGTTTAGGTTAGGTTGGTTTAAAGCTTCTTGCCTTTTTTTACGGCCCACGGGCGACAAATCTTTACGGACGACAACCCCTGGCCCATTCAGTTTACGTACATTCTGTGGTATTAAGTCCATTCCATTGGGAGATTTAAATACTACGTTAAGCAGCCCGGCTTGACTCATTTTCAAGTTCATTTAGCCACCTAGTGTGTAAATTGTAGGGCCAGTGAAATTCAACTGAGCCCTAACCAAGTCATCCAGCAGTTGGGTCATTGAATATCGAACTAATCATCGATCCTCATCAATGTCAAGGACAACCAACGCGCATCAGTTAATCGTACGCCATGGACTGGCCCACGCAGCAATGGTCTCACCTTCGCTTGTATCTACTTTAACTAGTATATTTCTGTAATAACGTTTTTTGTGTTGTACAGTCTTCAAAGCATCTATAATTACTTGATACGTCAATGGGGTAATCCACGTAAGGTGCTGACCACGAAGTGTGACTTCGACGTTAGCTAGTTTGTCACACCACTCACGTCTAACTCGAGTAAGCCTACAATCATTTCGACATAGATCATCTACGTTGGTGATCTACAAAATCTTTAGCAAGGTGACCCCGGAGATATCCGGAGGCATTAGCTGGTTTAGTAGTTGTTTTGTCAACTCAATATCATGCTCTAAACGAGTTTTGGGTCCTGAGCTTCCACACTCCTTAACTATATGAACGATAGCTAACTTGTCACTGTGATAAGTCTTCGATTTCAAAGCTACCTTCCTGGAGAATGGTCTTTTTTCAGCTACATTAGGTTGTTTCTTATTTCTTATCTGGACTTGACTGGATAGAGAGGCTGAAGTGAACAGATTGCTTTGCAAAGGCGATCAGTAAAAACATCCATTCAGAGAAAGTGGATGAGGAAATCTCAATGTAGGCATTATAAAAGTTAAATAAAATGGCATTTAGTGATAGGCTTGGAGAATGCACCAAATCTGAAGCTACTCATGCCCTTCTACAGAGACAGAAGCCAGTGTTCCCATCCAGAAGACTTATACCTTATATTCTCCTCCAAGTAGTTGAGTAAGACCTCGAGTGACTCCTGAGTTCAGGTGTTATCAAACCACTTAAATTGTGTTAACATTGGTTGCTAACCACAAGATCTTTGAAGCCGAAAACATAATTACTGAGAGGATGTACACTCAACATGCAGCACTTAGAGAGGGTCAAAAATGACGAACGCGGGAATGTAGAATCGTAATAGTATGGTTTGGTTGCGCAGATGTATTCACTGTGTAGTTCATATTCAGTATATTATATCACCCCAGCACAAACATGTTCTTCGTAAGTGCCAACAATCATTGCGCTAAGTTTTACTAGTGAACGACTTGGTAAAGACAATGATGTGACTTTTACACAAGATCTCATAGATTAGATAGTCACACCATAACAAATCTGCGCTTTTGGGACTAGGTCTATTTTTCCAGTAACCAAGATAAGTGTGGTAATATCGAACTAGGCTATAATCCTCCAAAATCTAAGAATAGACTGCACCGATAGTGATAGTTAATAAACAACACTAACTTTTGTTTACATTGAATTAGACGTCATAACATTGGTTAGCCATCCTCTTTTGATTGTACGAAAAGTACTATGCTGGCCGCCATAGTTATCGATTCCTGATTTTACCCAGTTTTAACAGAATGGATCAACATTTTCTAGGCACCATAAGATCATACTAAACGGTGAAATTTTTCACTTAATTTAGCCGCTACGTATCAGCGTTTACAAAGCTGGTGTAAATCAAACCTGTCGTTCTATTAACATCACGTGAAACCCTCCATTCATCTGCAGCTTGGTATTGCACTGATTAATATATTTTTGTGAATGAAAATAAACTGAAGTCCAGTAATTCTGGTTAGCACTAATTTGGTGCGGTACAATTTTTGTGAACATTTTATGACATTAAGTTTTATTTTGTCATTTTTACACTGAATTTCATCTTTACTTTCGAGGATACTTATCTACATGATAACCAACAAAGATATATCGATTTTATTTAGTAAGGAGATTATTAACATTATTAGTGTTCCTGTCCTCCTGTTCAGCTGCTGATCATCTGTTGCGGTCTTTAGATCCAAGAAGATATTTTCTCACTGATAACTTCATGCTTAAAGATTTAAATTACTTTCAAGTCGCATCAGTCTTTATAAAAGACATAAAAAAACAAGTTTGGAGCCCTCCATTTAAGCTGTATCCTGATATTCTTTACAAATTATTGGATAAAGTACTAATAGATGACGCTTTTCGTCTTTAACAAACAAGTCTTGCATCTTGTATTTATGATAACATGAATTGATAACATCAGAAGTTAAATTATTTGTAACCACACATCTTGCTATCTGGGGTTCAGATTTGTCTAATAAAGGAATCTATACCTAAGACTTAACATTGTCCTATATATATATATATATATATATATATATATATATATATATATATATATATATATATATATATATATCACAAATGTGGAGTTCCATATAAGAACTGGTGTTACATCCTTTCTTTTAAGTGTAATATTTAAAGTTGTAAGTATTTATTTATACTGAATTACATCTATAATTAGGTTTACGTAATAGTGTTTTAGTCAGCTATTTTTGGTTTAACTTACAATTGAGAAATTTTGGGCTTCGTTCAGCAATAAAATGTACTGGAATATTATTGTTACTCATATTGTAGATGTTCAGTTTGTTTTACGTCCTCTGTCCGTATTCACTTCCCTTCAACTCTTTTGTGTATTGTTTTATACTACTTATTAATATTCAGTAAATAGTTGTATTCCTAGCAATCTCGACGTTTATTCTACAATACAGGTTTGTCGTGTAATATTCTGAAGTATTTACATATACTTATAACGTTTATTGTAATTATCATTGTAATTAGTTTATCTGTATCATGGTAGAAGTTATTGTTAACTTTATGCAGTCGTTTGATCCTTGTTTAAACGCAATAGTTTCCATATTGTTTGCTCTTAGTTCAATTTTTGCTTGTTGATAAACCGTTATCAAGTTTAAACAGTCAACGGCTATCATTTCACACGATCTGAACCTTTCTATTTTAGACATAAAAGACGCGGTTAACGTCCTAGACACCTCAAAAGTTGAGGTTAGCAACTAGTTTTTGTATATCATTCAACAATGAACAGTTATTGCAGACAAATCGTTACCTTGTTTATATCGATTTAACACGAATCTCAATTAGATGAGTTAAACGCTTCAATAAATCTAACAATAGATAAACTAATTCAGCTAACAATCCAATAAAATAATGGCTTACAATTTTATTTGTTTTACTTATTCAAACTAACTGATAAAGATATTAAAAAGATAGTCGTAAACTGAAGCCTATATCTAATTGTAATGCATTTTAGTATCCATATTCAACCACCCCCCACTGATCAAAGGTTTATACACCATGGTGACAGGAGAGGAGTAACATACTTAAATCAATAAATAAACAAAACGTAATCTTTTTTTCTTAAAACACTTCAATGTTATTTTAGAATATATATATATAAAGAAAAAAAACACAAAGTGATTAGAAAAATAACTGAATTTTAACAAATTATTCCTGGTATAACTTTCAAATATACACAAATTGGGGAAAAGAGTGTGTGTGCGTGTGTGTGTGTGCAATTGTGTGTGTGTGTACAAATGATTTGTTCATTAAGAAATTAAGGCAAAACATTCAATTGATAGGAAGACAGGGGAATATATATATATATATATATATATATATATATATATATATATATATATATAAGAACAAAAGTAGTTTATCATGTCAACGTTGTATAAGCAACAAGAAAATCTGTCTCTCTATTGTATTTCATTGAAATTGTAATCTATTCTGTTGAATTGTTGAAGTTGTTGATGGTAATAGAAAAATTCCTGAATTTAATAAATCATGATTTAAGATACTTGAAGTATTTAGCATATTAGTTGTATGGATAGGCACTATTGGTGGTGATGATGATGATGATAATGATGATGATGATGATGACGATGAAGTTATGTAATTAGGATTGTTTATATTAGTTGTTAACTGTGTTGTTGGTAATAAACAAGCTGCTCCTATTATATATTTATTTGATCTTAAACTACCATTTGGACAATAATGTAGTGCAATTTGAGCATCTAATGGATTATTAAAATTTGCTAAAAAATTTGCTGTTCCATTTGTATGATATTGAAATGGTATAAAGTAGGGTTGAGCCTTGATAAATTGAAAATGAAATATATTTTTTTAATATAAAATCTAATATGAATGAATACTGATTATATTTATGTAAATAGAATAGCTTTATTTTTTTTGATTGAGATCATGAACTGATTGATGTTAGACCATCATGGAAAACCTGGAAGCACTGGATGGCCGTTTTGTTCTATTGTGGGACTCCTCTGCAGTGCGTATCCAATATCCCGCTCGTGGGATTCGAGACCAGGACTTATCAGTCTCGGTCGTGAACGCTAGGCCATTGAGTTGGCCGGCATCCAACGGTGTTAATGTCTAACCTCAACCAGTCCACGAAATTGAGCCACGATTGTCCCACAATTGACTCATTATCTCAACTATTAAAAAAATATATTTTTTGTATGTATGTGAAGATGAAAATGACTGAAACAAGATTGGATGGTAATGATATTTATCATTCAAGAGAAGTCATTAATGATAAGTCAATATATCAGTATAGGGGTTGTGAAGATTATTAAGTTTTTTTAATTGTGATCATAAACCAGTAGATTAAGCGTTCATGCTCGAGATTAAAGGCTCGGGGTTCGAATTCCACGAATGGTATCGTGGATGAACACTGCTCAGAAGTTCCACGAAACGGCCGTCTAGTGCTTTCAGGTTTTTTAATAGTGGTCTAATATCAATTGGTTCATAATCACAATCAAAAACTTAGCAATCTCCAAAACCCCTAAAGTGATAATAACTTTATTCTCTACTATTAGAGAAGCTGTTTATAACTTCAACTAATGGAACGCTTTATTCAGACATCGATCATTTTTCTAATCTCTGACTGATATGGAGATGATTTATATTCAGTTAGTAAATACTAAATTTGCTAATAAAATCTCTTTATTTTGATGGAGTTTTGTTCTTTGAGCTGGATGGTTTGGTCGTGGAGTTTTCATCGGTTCTTATGAACAACATCATCAGCATAAAATTCAGGTAGAAGTGAAGGGTTCGAATTTATTCACATGTAGTTCACAGCGGTAAGACTAATTTATGGACGAACCAATCAGGTACATGATAACAAATTTCAGGTTTTGGTGCGAAATTCACTCATCCATTCGGCTAAATAGAGTTTTCCTATCACAATTGATTGATCACTGGGTGGTGATCAATGTCATGTGTGTCAGGTCCTTCCTAGTGCAGATCGAATGCTATCGACCAAGTTGCAGCGTGGCCACTAGTCCAGGTGACTCATTATTGCGTGCACTGTGTTGAGATTAGATGGTGGTTGGAGGTGGTCGACAGGAAACCCTGGACCCGGGTTTCGTGCTACTTGGCGATCGTCAGCAAGGTCTACCTGTAATCTTGAGGGGACTGATGCTACCTGAATGATTTGATCCCATGTCACCCAGCTTCACAGTCAGAGACGTTAACACTACTTATCCGAGCTATTTTGATATTATAGTTGATGTCAGGTCGTGATGAAAACCTCAAATCTAATTCCTAACCTTAACTATCAACTATAAACCATAATTCTAATTCCTCACACTAATTTATAACGCACATTTGGTCCTAGTTATTAGGTGAACACTCTCAAGGTCACGCGCAAAGGTTGTCCATAAAATATAGTTTCACCTTCATATCTTGTCTTGTAGACCTCGATGTTGATTGGTTGACCTTATAGCTGTTATTGTCTACTTCATTTTTTGGAAGTAAATAATGATAGGTTTAAAGTCAACCAATCAACATCGAGGTCTACAAGACAAGCTGCGAAGTTCATTTGGAAAAATTCGAACACTTCAATTCTACCTGAAGTTTGTGCTGATGATGATGTCGTTTAGAAGAACAATGAAAATTTCACGATTAAACCATTCAACTCAGAGAATAAAACTCCATTAAAATCATCTACCTATGCTAAAAATCTTCTCCATGATCTCAAAACCTCCTCATTTGGAGTTTAAGGGATGTTCAACTATTCGAATGTATATTACCATATTTTTTATCATTGTTTCTTCAATTACTTCTGATAGAGTGATTGGTCAGTGAGTGATTTAAAGAGAAGTGTTACAAAACACTAAGGTAGTATTGTCAAAGCTGACATATACCTATTTAAGTAAGGCTTGTCCATACAAAATTCACCTTAAATAATAGTTACCTTCAGTAATAATAAACAGTTTGTGTTTATATTTTTCTATATATTTACGGTGACTAAACTAATAGTATGATAAGCAAACTTATCAAAGAGAGATGAGTGATAAGTGAAAAATGTGATCTAATGAATCTATTCTCTCAATATTCTTTTTTTGGCAGACTACAGTTATAGAAAGGAGACGCTTCTACGACTAACTTTGTCACAACAGGGACTTCGAAAAACGTACGTTTCGTCCTATGTAAGACTCATCAGTTGGATGTACTTGAATCAACTCTGGGATGCAGGTATATCCAGATAGGACGAAACATGCGTCCTTGATTTAATGGCTAGCTACTATCTATCTCTGCTTGTAAAACTTGTGATTTAAGACAATATCGATGGCGATCCACATAAGATGCATATATGTCAACACGAGACTGATTAACTGTAGTCCTGAAGGACCAACAATAGCAAGATACAATCAAACAATACCCATGTGAATATCTCAGTGATACGAAAACTAATCAATGATGACAACTACCTTATAACATCATAATATGAAAGAATTGTATGTTATTTAACACATTACGTTCATATTCCACCTTCAATAGACATAAATTCATGTCTATATACTAAATCATATCCTATTATCTAACTGTTTATATTAAAGCATCTTAACCTTCAGTGGTATTGTATAATAATAAATAAATGATTTTTAATACCTAAATTCTATCTAATTCCGTCAGACTGAGAAGGTTACAGACGGCTGAAGCGATTGCTATTGGGATCAAAAAGCCAGAGTTTTGCTTTCAAACGAAAAAAAATATGTTCAGTCACTCTTTTTAACGTGGCCAACTTTAGGGCCAACTAGTTAACAATCAATCTTATAATATGGTGACATAATTTGATTAATGTTCACATTATGTCCCAAACTTAGGTTTATTATTATTATTATTATTATTATTATTATTATTATTATCATTATTATCTTTACCATTGTTATTATCATCTTTATCGTTCTTCTTCTTATTATTATCATTACACTTGACAACCTTTTTGAGAAATTTGTTCAGTATCCAACCCTATGTATTATATCTGACCTAATTTATATTATTCTACATATTACGTAATTTCTGATTTGTATTCACATTATTCTCTCTTTCTCGCCCCATGTTGAGTATATGTATTCGGATTATTTATCTCACAATTTCATTTCAGTTATAAACTGATTCAAGTTAACAACTTCATATTATCAGAAGGGGTTTTGTAGAGATTTTAGTAATTTCAGTAGTTGAAATCATGAGTCGACTGAAGCTAGACCATCATGGAAAACCTGGAAGTACTGGACGATCGTTTCGTCTTAGTATGGGACTCCTCAGCAATGCGCATTCACGATCCTGCCCCTTGTGAGATTGATAGCTCCTGGGTTCGAATCCTGTGGGAGGGATCATAGGTACGCACTGTTGAGGAGTCTCATACTAAGACGAAACGGTCGTCAAATCCGTCCAGATTGTCCATAATGGTGAGGCTTCAATTGACTAATAATTTCAACTATTGAAACTTCATATTAGTCAACCCCAACATTAACGATCTGTTTTGATTTTATATAAGTAACAACAATTCTTGATTTACATATTACAATTTCCAAATGATATACTTTGCCTTAAATCTGGCTAATTATATGGATTATTCATTTGGATATAAGATGATTGTAGAGTACCTGATGAGAAATTCATTGAAAAGAATATTCTTCATTCACACAAAAGTGTCTTAATTCTGTAAAATTCGATATGACCTTCATGAAAGTATATACTGAGTAAGTTCAATTATCTAGGAGAACTTAATCGATAATATTTGGTCTGCATTTAAGAATGACTTGACACAAATCACATTGATTACCATTCAATGATCCATCTATTGTGAATTTATACTTTTTTTTAAGCGATAAAAAACATTCAACAAATTCAAAGTAGTTGAAATCACGAGTCAATTGAAACTAGAGCACCATGGAAAACTTGAAATCACTGGACAGTCGTTTCGTCCTGATATAAGACTCCTCAGAAAAGCGCATCCATGATCCCGCCCCTCCCCCCATGAGATTCAAACCTAGGGCCTATCAATCTCGCACGCGAGCATTTAACCATTAAACCACTGAGCCAGCCGGTATTCAAGAGTGTTCATGTCTAACTGATAAATCCTAGATTTGAATCTCATGGTGAGAAGTAGGGTCGTGATCGCGGATGCACATTGTTGAAAAGTTCTACCATAGGACAAAACATCCATCCACTGCTTTCAGATTCTCCATGCTGGTCTAGCTTCAATTGAAACTCATTATTTCAACTATTAAATATGATTAAACTCTTCAGAAAATCTCTTTTTCTTCAGGGGGGGGAGGGGTGGAAATTGAACTAACCTTTAATAAATATTGAATAGGTTTAAATAATGATTCAAGTTCTTCATTGGTTACATCAATTGGTAAACCAGTTAACATAATTATAGATGATGTTAAATGAGATAAATTATAATTGGATTGATTATTTATCATATTATTTATATATAATAATAATAATAATTTATTATTGAATAAACTATTTAAATTATTTTTATTATTAAATGGGATGAATAAATTTTCATAATCAGAATTTGTTGTTGTCATGGAAGAATGTTTCATATGATTTAATATTGAATCTATATAATAATCTAGATTTTTATGATTTATCAATGAGGTTGTATAATTTATAGATAAATTTGGATCCATTAATGGAATTGTTGAAGGGATTGCTAATATGAAAAAAAAATAAAAAAATAAAAAAATTTTTATGTTTTAATTTATTTTTCAATTAATAATTAAGTTTAATGGTTAATATCATGAATCCGTTGAAGTTAGACCATTATTGACAAACTTCAATACATTAGATGATTATTTCATTCTATTATAGGACTGGTTTCAAGAGATATATCCTAAAGTTCTAGTAAGAAGTAATGATCAGTGCAGTTCAATCAGGTCTGTCGCTCAAGTTCATGGATTAGTTGAAGCTAGACATTAACACTGTTGGATGTCAGCTGGCTCAATGGTTTAGTGATTAACTGCTCGCATACGAAACCGATAGGTCCTGGATTCGAATGTCATAAGGGGGCGAGGTTGTGGATGAGCACTGCTGAGCAGCTCCACAATAGGACGAAACGGCCGTCAAGTGTTTCCAAGTTTTCCATGATGGTCTAGCTTCAACTGACTCATGATTTTAACCATTGGAATTACTACAATCTACACAAAACCCCTTCTGATATTAACAATTAATCATTTAATTTATAAGTGAATTGAAATTAGACCATTATGAAAAATCTGGAAAGATTGGATGACTGTTTCGTTTTAGTATAGGATTATTGAACAATACGTATCTATGATCTCTCTCACAGGATTCGAATTTAGGACCTATTGATTTAGCATGCGAACGATTAACTTATACAAAATTCAGCGGGAATCTAATAATATTAATGTCTAACTCTAATTATCCAATGCTTCCAGATTTTGTATGAGGGGTCTAGCTTCACTTCACTCATAATCTTAACTATTAAAAATCCATAATATTTGTTAAATGAATTCTTCTCGCAACATCTACTTCACACAAGTCAATTTGAGGTGATGATCTTGTGAAGGAGAACACGAGTGAAGACAATCGAATGTATTTAAACACAAAATTACAAAACATCTTCGTAAAATCTGAAAACCCTACAGCGAATACTTCATCTACAAAATATCAATTAATGCTCTTAAACTTCACTGTTTTTTATGCCAATCTCAATCCATCATCTCAGATTCCATTGTTCTTGTATTTTCACATCAACTGCTTTCCATTCCCATTATTTTTTTTTCTTCTTAATCTTCTACTAAAATACATTCTATTCCCGAATATCAAATTATATACTACTGATGTCAATATATATATAAGTAGTATAAAACACAATTTGTCATTTAATGAATATCAATCTATGTTTTTTTTTTTCTTCAATAACTTACTATTTATTATATTTTGATCATCAATTTTTGTTTTAATCGGATATTTTATTGTTGATTTTAATTCATTGATATTAGAATAATTGAATTTATTAAATTTTAATAATGATGTCATATGTATTCTATGTATTGGTATATTCAATGTTCTATCTGATAAATCAATAATTGATAATTTACCATTATAATCAATATGATATAATGCAAATGTTGGAATATTTGATAATACTTGAATTTGTGGATTATTTCTATATAATGTATTCATAGTAAATGGTCTAATAATTAAATCATGAATAAATTGTATAGCTTCAGTTGTATTCTTTAATGATAATAACCATGATGATGTATTGTTGCTGTTGTTGTTGATGGTTGTGGTTGTGGTTGTGGTGTTGGTGTTGATGGTGTTGTTGTTGTTGTTGTTGTTGTTTGAAATAGTTTCCTTGATATCAAAACAAAAAAAGAAAGAACTGTCTATACTGTAATTGTTAATTTCTTAAAACATTGAATGTTCCGTAATCAACGACAGAAACTGTCGACCGTTGTTAGCTACCTTGATGTAATGATCGGGTGTGTCTACCGTGATAAACTTATTATATTTATATAATATACCCGTTGTAGGTCAGAGTAATTTTACATTGGTTTTCAGGAGAACCAGACACCGTCCAGACTTTCACGTGACAACTCAAACAGTACAGTTCAAGCCCGTTTAACAGAAGAGCCAGACACTGTATAGGTTTTAACGCTACAATTTGAATAGTACAACTCAATCCTGTGGCGCAACCACACAGGTACCAAGCACCCTGTTGGACCAATCGTGACAAACTAACTGAGCTATATTGAGTGGAATAATCATTTCTTAAAGTTGTACCATGTCAGACAGGATGGTTGAAGAGCGGTAAGACTAAAAGTAGCAAACTTAAAGTTCGAAGGCGAAGTTGTACTGGTGACTATGGAGAGATGTGATAGCAGTAAGATGTTTCCTTCAAACAATCAGTATAACAATGATGCTGTTTTCTCACAAGAATTGCTGGGGTTAGAAAATGTCGACCATAAAAATGCATATCTCGTCTTATCCTACGGATTGCCGTCTTCGGCGGTAAGTTTACAATAAGTACGGAGGTAACATGAAAATTACTCACAAAATGGTTGTGTGTGATCGACCTCAAGCAATTGTCCCTTGGGCACTGAAGGAACTCGGACTGATACATATATGTGCCTGGTTCTGCGTTATAGCTGACTGACTGACGGAAACTATTTTCAAAACACTGAATTCTTAAACCATAGAAAGTTGTGTTTTAATCCCATTGTTAATAATCAACAATATGCACTTCATGAATATTGGCACTGTATCATTTTTTTACTACTTACTGTAGTAATTTCTTTAGTTCTGTTTTATTTCTATGAGCAAACACTGTTATAATAAGCACATCGCTTAAGTTGAGGATCTCTATGCAATTGACTGAGTTTGTCTACTTTTATTTCAAATACTACATAGGTTGGATGATGGCTAACCATGGAATCTACGAGGTGCGTTTCTTCCTATTTGGGGATCGTCAGCTGGATATAACTGCATCTTAAAGTTGATATTCACTGAGTTAACATGAACTCTGAGATGCGCGTACATCCAACTGACGAGTCTTAAATAGGACGAAACGTGCGTCCTGGATTCCAGTGTGAGCCACTATCCATCTTTGCTTAGAAGGCTTGTAACTTAAGGTAATATCGATGCAAGCCATACTAAATGCAGGTTTGTTAATAAAAGACTGATCAATTGCAGTTCTGCACATCAATGGGAAGATTCATACAAACAGTACAGAATGAATTATCACTATCTTGAACTTTAAGACAATTGACTTATATGGTTCTCAGATTTGACCAAGTTATTCTGTAATTTATGTGTTCGAATACATTTGATTGTCCCCATTTGTGCTCTCGTTCACTACAAGTTAGGCATACTATTAAAAACCTATTCAAATGTGTTAGTTGTTAAGAATACACATGCTGAAGACAAAGAAGAATGGTCGCTCAGCGTAGCCAATTCATTAAAGTTAAATGCTTATATTGTTGGATTTATGCTCACTAGTTTAAGCATTGAGTGCTCACAAACAACACTGAAGGTCCTGAGTTCGATCTATGGTGAATTCGTGTGTACACACTGTCGAAGGAGTTTTGTTCATCTAGATTTATTAGATAAACATATTAATAAATAAAACCAGTTAATAAATAAAACGAAATAATTACCATCCTTCTCATACGATAAACCTTTGCAAAATTAGCTGGACCCAAATACAATCGAATATCATGCCTGGATGTTTCCATGGGCAATTCATTCAACTGAACCATAGCACATGCACCACCAATTGGCATTGGTCTTGCAAATGGACAGTCAGGATCTGTTGGATCAGTTAGGTCACGTATGAGTGAATTTGTAACGCCTATATTTGGTAAAAGATTAAGATTAACTGAAGGATTGTTTGGTGAAATGATTGGTACGGATGGTGATATACCTCCTAATGTATTATTTAATAATACATTGTCGTTTAAACCAGTTCCACTTGATGTTAATAAGTTATGTGGTAAACCCAAAGGGATTGTGCCAGAATTCCATAAATTTTGTACATTTGATAGGGCTCCAGTACTGATAGCCGATTTCAAATGTGTAAGAGCTGGGCTTAAATAAATTTCTTTGTTATTACTACTGTTAGTATTACTATTGTTTACAAAATTGACTAAATTAGAACAGTTGATTTGTGTTCCTCCATTTATTAGTGGTACACCTATGATTCCATTAGATTGAATGTTTGATAAAGCTGAATGTGTTTTCTGTCCAGATGATGAGCATTGAAATAGTGTTACATTATGACAAACCTGGTCAAAAATAAAAATAAAGTAAATAGTTCACTGGGGAAAAAAGCACAAAAACACATGATATATATCAAGTATAGTAAACTAGTACAAATCCACTTGGTAGCACAATACAACTTTCTCACCAAATTATCTTACTTCCTTACCTATTTACTTACACCTGTTACCCCTCGTAGAGGAGCATCAGCTTAGTTGATGAGTGTGTGTGTGTGTGTGTGCGCGCGCTTCATACATCATATTTTCGTCTCGTTACAAAGCGATCAGAGAAGTTTTTATTAAAGTTTGTAGATTGTTAAGTAATCCTGATCACTGTTTGAAAAAGGCTTACAGAAATTATGTAATCATAATCTGAAAGTTTACTCTAGAAAAAATTATTCATTGGAAAGTAAATACTCAAACGATATATTACTTTTTCAAAAAAGATGAATTTTTGGATAACTAAAATGTAAATATCAAGCGATATCATCACAACCATTCATGTAAATAATTTCAAGAGTAGGTGACACTATTGAACCCACTTTCATATGGTGTTTGTATTAATCTGAAATAACTGATAAATATATGAGGTAGGATGTAATTATAATGATTGATCTCACTTTTCCCATATCATGCCTTATATCGCATTTCTTCTTATCACTCATATTCATACATTTAACTTCATTTTATAATCCTTAACATAGACAAATATATGACGACTTGGTGATGTAGTTGCTACTAACTCCATGAGTTATATTAGTCAAGGAAATCTACCTTTCAAACTTATGAACTTGTAAAAATCTCTCAAATTCACCAGGATTACCTCAACCCAGTAACTAAACTAGTTTCACTAAGCTCTGTCAATGATCTAGAAATATTTTCTGACATCAGAGTAGTTTGTCTAACAATTAGTAAGGTTTATTAAATTGTCATAAAGACATTTGATACTGAAATATTGTTTATCATATTTTTCTGTCGCCACACAAATCTCATTTGATTTGAATGTGTGGGTTGTGCTACTGCCCGGGTGTCCAAACCGAAGCAGATGGTTTTCTTAAGGGGTCACTTCTAGAGCCTTCAACTTAAAGGTCTAGTCAACAAGGCAGTAAAGCAACGCAAGGGGATGCAGTTCAATGGTAGCCGGTGACCAATAATTCGTTCATATGTCATTTGTTCCTTCAAGATCCTGGAATACATGTGCACCATTGGTTTGGAATCAAGGTTTTCCGACTTCTCTAAGTGGATCCTCCATATCCATTAACTCGGTTGAAGCGACGAACATTCGCTTATCATCCTCTCAATTTCGTAAACAATAGTAATGCCGTGAGAAGGCAGTGAGTAAGATTTCCCTAATAGTGACTGCATACACGTGGTCATATGAGAGCATTTTGAGATATAGAGCTATCTCTCCCCATCCTCAGCCATTTTTACTTACCTAGTTCTTTGTGGTATAAATTACGTTACTTCGGAAATTCCTAGTTCGCACAATCATTCAAATACTTTAAACTATCACAACGGTTCATAGAGAAAAATTTAGTTCGACAAATGTTCCTTTTTGGGTAAAAAGACTGAATAATGATAGTTCTTCGACAGTTATTCAAAGATTTAAATTCTAACTTACTTACTCCTGTTACTACAAAAAAGAATAGGCCACCGATCAGCATTCTTCAACCCACTCTGTCCTGGGCCTTCGTTTCTAGTTCCATCCAAATGTCTTTCATTCTTCACATCTATGTTTCCATTTCTCGGCGTAATGTGTTCTTTGATCTTCCTCTTCTCCTTTGACCTTTAGGATTCCATCTGAAGGCTTGCCTTGTGATGCAGTTGGTGACATTTCTCAATATATGTCCTATCCACTTGCAGCGCTTCTTCCGGATTTCTTCCTCCTCTGGAATCTGGTTTGTTCTCTCCCACAGTAGCTGTTAATAAACACTTGTATCTTGTGGATGATGGCTTTCGTAGTTCTCCAAGTTTCCGCCCCATACAGTAAAACTGTCTTGACATTTGTATTGAAAATTCTGACTTCGATGTTGGTTGACAATTATTTTGAGTTTTTTAGTTGTAAATATGCTGCTCTTGCTTTGCCGATCCTCAACTTTACATGTGCATCAAATCCACCGTGTTCATCAATGATGCTGCCCAAATATGTAAAGGTTTTTACATCTTCCAAATCTTCTCCGTCAAGTATGATCCGATTGTTGCATGCTGTGTTGTATCGGGAAATCTTCTTTTTCCTTTTGTGTATGTTCAGACCTACTGCTGATGGAGCTGCTGCTATACTGGTTGTCTTCTCCTGCACTTTTTGTTGCGTATGCGATAGAAAATTTAGATTATCTGCGAAGTTTAGATCGCCCAGTTGTATCCTAGATGTCCACTGTATCCCATACTTCTTTCCAGATGTTGACATCTTCACGATTCCGTCGATTACCAGGAGAAAGAGAAAGAGTGAGAGTAAGTAACTTTACCTGATACTGGTCTTCACTTTGAACGAGTCCGTCAGCTATCCTCCATGCACGATTTTGCAGTTTAATCCATCATACGAATTGTGTATAATATTGACTATCTTCTGAGGCACGACGTAGTGTCGAAGAAGCTTCCATACTGTTGTCCTGTCTATGCTATCAAATGCTTTCTTATAGTCAATAAGCCCCTGTGAAGGCTACTACTGATCTCAAGCCCAGATAAAAGAAGAGGGTTGGACATAGGGTTGACGACCCCATCCCATAGAAAATTAACTCGCTAGAAAAAAAAAGAACGCTAACCATAAAAATATAGATTATGGTTTTAAAAAAAAGGTAATCAAATACTTAGTTACTAATATAGAAAAAAATAATAATACACATCTATAACTACCTGAACCATTTCAGATGGTGATGCTTTAAATAATTCAACATATCTATCACCTAAATAATCTTTATGACGTGTTAATGCTTTAGTTGCTATATTATCATTAGAAAATAATATAAATGCATCACCAGTTGGTCGTTGATCTGGATAAGTAACTAAATAAATTCCTTGTTCATTTAACATAATTGGTGCTTGTACAACATTAAAAAATTCAATCTAAAATAATTTTTTTAAAAAAAAAAAGAAAAAAGAAAAAAAAAAGAAAAAGAAAATAAAATTTTACATAAAGATTGTTATATATTCTACATAGTAACTAATTATATAATTAACAGTGTCAGTACTTATCACCAAATTTAACACCAATCTGAAAATTATTGAATTATTTTAAATAAAAACAATTGGATTAGTTTCATCATTGAAATAATCATCACCAAATCAATATTTTTCAATAGTTTAGATGATGAATCTATTGAAACTAGATCATCATGAAAAACTTAAAAGTATTAGATGACTGTTTTATTCTAATGTAAAACTCTTCAAAAGTACACATCTACAATCTCGTTTTATGTTATTCAAATCTAGGATCTATCGGTCTCATGTACAAATACTTAACCTTTACACTATTTAGTTAGCATCCATTGATGTTAATAATCAAACTTCAACTCATCTACGAAATTCAGTGATCTAACCACTATTATCTTTAATGAGTTACTATCTCACAATAGACCCGGTTGAATTCCACTGATCATTCCAGGAAATATCTCTTGAAGTCAATCACTACTGAAGAACCCCACAATAGGATGAAACAGTCATCTAATACTTCCAGGGATTTTTTAAAATGGTGATCTAACTCCAATGAACTCATGATCTTAACTATTAAAATCATTATTATCATGTATACACAAAAAAAAAACCCGCAGTAACTTGAATAGAATCACCGATAACATGAATAATGGCATTTAACCATAAATACATGATGATTATATAAATTCTACCTCATAGAATACAATAAGTCAATCTTGTATATAAATACATATGGTCTACTTCTAGTATACAATTATACATTGAAAAATCAAAAAAACAAAACAACAATAGAGCATATTCAATATAAACAAAATAGAAATCTTACTATTACTAGTACTACTACTACTACTACTTCTACTACTACTACTACTACTACTACTACTACTACTACCACTACTACCACTACTAACACTACTACTGAACGAATTATATCACCATAAGAGAAAATAAATTAGAAACAAAACTAAACCTTATCCCATTAAATTCTATCACCTTGTATACAATTGAGTAATTCAGTTTGTTTGTTTTTATTTATTGTTGTTGTTTTTTTTCGTTGAAATAAACACACTCATATACAATGTAAACATAAAGAAAATAAGATAATTAGAGAGGATTTTTGTGGATATTATAGTGAGTTTAATAGTTGAGATCATCAGTCAGTTGAAGCTAGATCACTATGGAAAACTTGGAAGCACTGGATGGCTGTTTCGTTCTAGAATGGGACTCCTCTTCAGTAGTGAACATCTAAGATCCCACCTTACGAGATTCGAACCCAAAACTTAACAGTCTCAGCTACGAGCACTTAACCATTAGATCACCAAGCTGGCATCCAACGGTGTTCATGTCTAACTTCAACTGATCTACAAAGTTGCACCCCGGTTTACTATTGTCTTCAGTGAGTTACTATCTCACAACAGATCTGGCTGAACTCCATTGGTCATTACTTCTCACTAGAACTCCACGAAATCCATCTTAAAACCAGTCACTAGTGAACATAAGCTGATTAGTATCAGAAGAGGTTTTGTGGATATTATAGCAATTTAATTGTTGAATTTATGTGTTAATTGAAGTTAGACCACCATGGAAAACCTGGAAACGCTGGATGGCTGTTTCGTTCTAGTATGGGACTCCTCATCCACAATCCTGCCCCGCGAGATTCAAACTTAAAAAAATAAAATAATTAATATGATCGATATAAGATAACAATACACGATAATTCTATTTATGATACTATAAATCTAAATAAATATCAAATTACTAAGAAATTCACTTTTTTCTCTCCGTTTGCCTTCGGGATTCCAAGTTAACGCTTGCCTCGTGATGTACTTTGATGATTTTCTTAATTTGTGCCTTGTCCACTTCCAGCGTCTTTTCCTAATTTCCTTTTCAGCCGGAACTTGGTTTGTTCTCTCCTATGGTAGGGCGTTACTGATGGTATCCAGCTAACGGACATTCAGTAGCTTACGTATACAATTGTTGATAAATACTTGTACCATTTTGATGATGGTTGTGTTAGTTCTCAGAGTTTCAGCTCCATACAATATAACTAACCATCTTGAAGTTCGTATTGAAGATTGTGACTTTGATATTGGTTGAAAGTTGTTTTGAGTCCAATATGTTCTTCAGCTTTAGGAATTCTGTCTTTGCTTTGCCGATCCTAGCCTTTACGTCCGCATCAAATCCTCCATGTTCATCGGTGATGCTACGCAGACAAGTGAAACTTCCCAACTCTTCCAGAGTTTTGCCCTCAAGTGTGGCTGGATTGATGTTCTCCGTGTTGTATTTGAGGGCCTTTCTTTTTCCCTTGTGTATATTGATGCCTACTGATGCAGAGGCTGCTGCTACACTATTTGTCTTCATTTGCATTTGTTCGTGTCTATGGGATAGAACGGCCAGTTCATCTGAGAAGTCCAAATCTTCTAATTGATTTCGAGATATCCATTGTATATCGTGTTTCCCCTCAGATGTCGAGCTCTTTATAATCCAGTCAGCAACCAAGGAAAAGAGAAAGGAAGGTTTTAAGCAGACTTGTCTGACTCCGATCCTCACTTGGAATGCGTCTGTCAGATGTCCTCTATACACAACCTTGCAGTCTATTCCGTCGTATGAATTCCGGATGATGTTGATGATTTCCTCAGGTATACCATAGTATCGAAGAGGTATACATAAAGCCGTCCCATCCACACTGCCAAACGCTTTCACTCAATTAAGGAGACTGATATATAGTGACGACTTCCATTCAACTGATTGTTCAACGATGATCCGTTGTCTCTTGATTCGGTCTGTACACGACCAATCCTTACGGGATCTGGCCTGTTGATCTCAAAGTTGGGTGTTCATTGAATCTTTCATTCAATTCATCAACACTCTGTTAAAAAGCTTTCCTGGTACTGATAGTAGTGTGATTCCTCTATAGGTCTCACATTTGCTTAAATATTCTTTCTTTGGTATCTTTATGAAGTGTTGTTCTTTCCAATATATCGGCACTTGTTCTTGATCCCAAATCTTTCTGTAGCTCTGCTACGGTTACTACCACTACCAAGCCCAAGTAAAAGATGAGGGTTATACCTAGGGTCAGTAACCCCATCCCTTAAAAAACAAATTTGCTAAAAAAACGCTAATCAAATTATACAATTCAAACCATTTACAAAACTATTCATAGTTATATAATATACCCTTGTGAGTCAGGGCGATTTTACATTGGTTGGTTCAGGAGAACCAAACACCATCCACAAGTTCACGTGACAACCAAAACAGTACAGCTCAATCCCGTTTCCTGGAGAACTAGACATCGCTCAGGATTAAATTTTATAAACTGAGCAGTACAGCTCAATCCCACGTCACAGGACAACCAGATACCATATAGGCTTTAACGCTACAATCTGAGTGGTACAGCTCAATCCTGTGGAGCAACCATACAGGTACCAAGCACCCTGATAGACCATTCACACCATTCATATACACATTCACATCATATGTATGATAATTATTCTGATCAATGATCGCTATATAACCATAATTATCTTGATGTTAAAATAAAAGGCATAATAAACTTCATAATGATTTAATAAAGAAAACTTAAACAGTAAATCATTTCATTTTCACCATTATAAGAGCTAAATATTATTCGTTTATCGTATGAAAAGAAAGTTTTTATATAAACCAATGAAACTATCCAATTGAACCATTAGAGCATAACTTGATTTCGAAAACTATTTTAACACAAATACACATTGTAAGTATATACAATTACAAGGATCTAGATCGTAGTGAACATGAACACCAATGGAGATAATCAAATGTAGTTGGGTACAAACTTACTGGGCATCTCAACAACATTTAACAATCATATGGTAAATGCTTAATTTGTTCTTGCATTTTCATACAAATCGCATTCTGTTTCTATTCTTTACTGTTCGATCCTCTAGTCTCGATGTTGCCAGACATTCTGTTTATGACTAACGTCATATACTACTTATGTCAATATCACAATATTATCTAAGTCAGATTCACTGAATAAGGAATTACATTCATTAAACGTATTATTCAAAAGAAGATGAGACTACACTTTATGGACACTCTTGGAGTGACGATAAAATGACCTTGTGAGTGTCCTCATCAAATACCTAGAACTAAATGAAGGTTATAAATCAGCATTTGAGAAATTAAAATTATGATTTACAGTTGATGGTTATGGTTAGATACGAGATTTAGGGTTTTCATCACGAAATGGATAAGTGAATTTTTGAGCCGAAATCCAAGACCTGTTATCTAATATCTGATTGGTTTGTCTATAAATTATAGTCTCATCCAATGTTAAGATAGACAACACCTATTGAATGTATTCATAAAATGAAAACAAAACTCTCAAAAATTTAGACATTACACTATTAACTAAGAACTTTCTTCTAAATTTGTTCGAATAGTTACATCACAGTATTCGGGTGGCCGAGTTGATATGAGATATTAAAGAGGAAGGATATTTCCATGAAAACTCCCCCTGGAGTCCGGTTCCGAACCCGGATAAATGAGGAGGGCTGGGCATTGGGTTAGCGACCCCATCGCGTAGAAAACTAACTCGTTAGAGAAAAAAACGCTAACTAGAAAAGATTACATTTCCATGAAGAAGTTTGGATCAGATTGCCAGGTGAAATGTCGGATTTCTCCACTATTTATTAATAAAAAACCCAAAATTTTTCATAATTTTGAGTAGACTTTGTATCTTTCCTCGAAATTTCCCCGAACTTGGCAGATTGGTTCTGAATCTAATAATATACCGTATCGGGTAGAGACAGGTATCTACCCCAGCACAATGGAAGATGGTCGCGCAATTTCGTGAATTAATTGATGTTAGACACTAACACCATTGGATGCCAGCTCAGTGGTCCAGTAGGTTAAGCGTTCGCACGCAA